CTTCTAATAGTATTTTTTTCCCGAAACAGGCTCTTTCATGTCTATAATGACTGGGCTATATAAGCAAACTGCCATTATTTTCTCATGTAGAATCACCCCCTGAAATTTGTCGCACTTATTTACTAACGGCCTGTATGTTTTTCCTTCAGGTTGGAATGTCTGAGGCCGAAGTAAGAGGTACACAAAGTCAGGTGCAATCTGCACAGGACCAGGGTGGCACTTTTCTAAGCTTACCAAAACCTGACGATGCTGGAGACGAGGTAAATAAATTTCCATTCCATATCAATATTTTATTCTAAGACTCATCTGTAGTAAGACACAGAGACAGGGTATCCCAAAAAGGCACGAATTTCGTCATGACTTTTTGACTGATGCTATATACTTAATTTTTTTCAGCGCCCCCTAATGACTTTGTAGATATGTAAATTTGAAAAACATTGTTTTCATTTTAGTCTCAATCGGCAGCAGATGCAAAAGAACCCAATAGATTTGTAACGAAAAAATTGATGCAGCAGGTTAAAGATAGGATGAACCAAAGATTGAAATATCCCGAACAGCTATATCCAGATACTCTTAGTGGTAAAATGAAGATACAGGATTCCGCATTGGCAGTCACTGAAGATGATCAGGCCAATAGCAAGGTGAAGATGACAAATTACCTATAAAAATCTAGTCTAATGTACCTACATTTTCTGTATTATTTTAATAAATATTTTTTTCAGTCAATAGAATCAGAAATCGTTGAAAATGCAAATCCATCCCTTCAGTCCATTCAAGCTCCTGACGATCATCGGGACAATATAATTGATTTGAGCATTGCTGAAAAAGGACCAAACCCAGCTCAGGACATAATACAGGAACAACAGGAGATGGAGCCTAGAAAAGGTGAACTAAAACCAGATGGTTTAATGATGAGTTCTCCCGACCTTGAAGAAGGTGGACTCAAAAGTGAAGATCCCATGTCTAAGCCTACTGAGACATTGCCGTCTTTTAATAAATTAAAAGGTAAGAAGTCTAAATTTTTATAATACTTGGTAAGTAATTACTTAGAAAATATTAACAGTTTTATTTTTTTTGAAATATAAATTTTTTAAATAAAAAAAGTTGCGCCCCCGGGTGGGCTCGAACCACCAACCTTTCGGTTAACAGCCGAACGCGCTAGCCAATTGCGCCACGGAGGCTTGTATCTCATCTCCCTAACAGAATTAGAAATACTACAATCAAATATTAGTACAATATACTGTTTGTATCGCTGATAAGGCAAATAGTTGATAAATTTAATTAATAAAACATGATTCTTAAGAATAGTAAAACTATTCTATCAAAGTTATTGCATTAATACTTAATTACTTTTAATAAAAAAGTTGGTAACTTTAATAGTATTCTTTTTTTTTTTGTTTAACAGATGTCGCATCAACAATTTTGCAGAACTTGAAGAAAGGCACATCAAATATGCAAAAAATAGACAATTTCGATACAGCCAAAGCTGTCCTGAAAGACGTAGAAAATATAGTAGGCGAAATTGAAAAGGAAACCCATATGAAACCAGATGAGGAACAAATAGATACTTCGAGGTTACGAATGGAAAACGAAGGGAAAAGTTTCTTAACACCTTCTGAAAACCTCGAAAATACCGCTAACGTTGCACACTTGCATCCAACAGACTTGGTCGGTTTGACAAGTGAGAAAAAAATCAAAGAACAACCCCAGGTTGAAACAGATAAATTAGCAAAATGGAAGCTGTACGACAAAGAAAAACTTGGTGTACCGCAGTCTCAAACCGTCGAACCGGATAGCGATAGACTAGGCAGCCAACCTATAGAAAACGTAATTTGGGATAAAGACATGCTCCCAAGAACATTTCAAGGCCCGAGTCAAAGAAGATATAAAGACTGGACAAAACTTGGTAGCACTAACGTAGAAACGTCTCCAATTGAAGGAGACACACCGGCTGAATTAATGAATCACAACATTCCCGTAAAGTTTCCAGCCCAAATAATGACAGTTCGCGGTAAGGAAATCCCCATGAAACAGAAGACGAAAGTAGAAATTTCTCCCCACGATGGACCACATGAAACAGTGGGTGAGGTTTCTTCAAAGTACGAGGAAACAAATAGCGGGTACAGAGATAACGAATCTCTTGGTGCGAGTGGAAGTCTTCAAGAAACAGTAGGCGGCGTTGACTCCGAAAATAATATTCTAAAACAAACGGACAATAGGTTCACAAATATTGTTCCCGATTCCCAACAACCTGAAATTGGTTCTGATTCAGAAATCAGCAATATTCCAGAAGCAATCGATAGCAGGTTCAAAAACATCGACGATTCTACTGCGAACACAGCTTCTGGATTACAAGAATTTGAAATCCCGCCAGTTGGAAGCGCTCTAGGAGACCAGTCATGGTCCAATTCCTTGGGAGCACTTATACCTTTAAAAAAAAGTGACATCTCCGTATCGTTATCCCCCAAAGACATGTACTTCATCGGAAACGGTATAAAACTGCCCCTGCAAATGGTCCGCAATGATGACGGCGCGCTACATCTATCTGTTGACTTGGATAAACTGTGTTCGTGTAAGAACAACACTGTTTGTCCAAAAAATCACACGGGAGGTATTTTGGGGAACCAAGCAGTTGTGGGAAATTTGTTAGGTGATTCAAACTTACAACAAATGTCGAGTCACCAAGTAGGGGATGGAAATATGCGTGTAAGTGCGTCAGCTCCAAAATTCCAAGAAGAACCACGGTTGAAATCTAATCTCGTGGCCAATCGTAATGGAAGAGGAACCGGAAGTAAATGGTTGGACACGAAGAACAGCATCGCAAGTCAGTTGGATCCGCACCAGGAATATGCGCAAAGAGACGTCAATATATTCAAAAGGTCCACAGAAAAAACTGCAGTTAAAGAAACATCCCCTGAGAGAATTACGATGCCCATAACTGGACTCACGGAAAACGAGCACAAGGGAAATTCTGTATCCGATAACTCACCACTTGAATATACCCAGGACAACGGTAGTCCGGACTCGTTAGACACCTTCCAGGAATTTTTAAACGAAAAACTTACAAATTTAAAGTCAAAAATGAAAGACATCGAAAGAAGGAGTGAGATGAAGTCCCAGCAGTCTGAGGGGAAACTGATTAACGTTCTGAACGCCATAAATAAAAATACGAAAGTTGTGACCAACGAAATCGGGGATAGAAATGTTAAAGAGAAGCATAGTGATGAAAGAGAAGCCTCGCCGAAATCTTTGGAAATAAGGTCTAGATTTTTGGAAGATTTGTCCAAAGAACAGAGGGGCAATGAGTTGTTTGATATAGTGACGCCGATAAAAGGTGTCTACAAGTTCAAGAAGGCAGAAAATTTGCAGAATAAATTGGAAAAAATAAATGAATACATCGATCGGTATGCTAAGGAGAACGAGAATTTATTGAAAAAGGAGGCAGAATTTCTTTCAAAAACTCAGAAAAATAGCTTTATAAAAAAGGAAGTAGATATTGTGAGTAGTGTTCTCAATTTTTTGAAGACGTTAGCAACAGATAATAAATAATTGTAATAAATAAATCTTTATTAGATAATCACTGTTTTTTTATTTTTGTACGTTTTTGTCTGCTGCAGAATTATGTAATGCGATTTTGTATGAAAAATAAATTTTACTTTCAAAATATCGTTTACACAAGTCATTTAACGTACCTTAGAAAGATACTGAACAACTATACATATAAAAAAATATCTTTTGCATGTAAGCTTTGGATTTGAAACATATTTTATGGGAAACATTTTCTCATAATTTTAAAATTTTACATGCTTTAAGTAGGTACTATTTATGGATTATCTTCAATCAGAAAATTGTTCGCCATTTTGAAAATAAACCGAGTAGTCTAACTGATATTGCATATCTTGTAAAAAATTATCGATACTCATAATTTATTAAGAAAATATTACTCCATAGCCATCGCTGATATTACTTTATTCTTATCGGCCATTTTGTTTTTTTTCGCTCTGCTGATGTCATAGCTTGATGGAGGCTGCAGACTACACATTATGGTACCAAAAAATGGCCTTTAAACAATGGTGAAATTTCAATTTCAATATCTCCCTTGTAAAGAAGGTTCTGTATTTATTTGAAATTAAACACACTAGAATTGACAGTAATTTTTTTAATTGATGTGTTAGTATTAAAAAAGTCAATTTCCTAATCAGAAATAGTTTTTTTAATCAATGTTGAGCGATTTTATCCTGGGCCACGTGACTTAGGGCAAATCGGCAAATCGCTTTTGCAGTTCATGCCCAGAAAGTCGGCTTTGGCTCCAACAATATTATACTGTTACATCTATGCACCTACAGCGTCGTAGGCAAAAACAAAATACAAATTTCTCTTAACTAGGTATGATACAAATATATAATCAAATCATACAACCTCCAAAGAGAGAAATATAGTTTTGTTTTGTGGACAGAAATTTAAAGTTAATCGTTTTTAAAATTAAAAACAAATTTCAAATTTTTCGATAAAAAATACATACCTTACCTGCTTAAAGATAGTTTAAATACGTAACACAATAATTTTCATGTTTGAAAACTTTTACGTAGTGTACTCTAGTGACGATTTGCTAAACACATCACAGATTTCACCTCTCACTGCAAGCAGTACTCATTTAACACATATTCCATACATCACTGACACCTATAACAGATTTGATGAAACAGCACATTTGATTTTATTGGACTTCGGATACCGCTTCCTAGATGGCGCAAAATCGTAAAAATTCTGTCAAAGAATTTTTTTTTAATTTACACCATTAACACATTTCTTAAAAAACATTTTTAATGTATACTCCATTTGATAAACTATTTTCTTATTAGTGAAGCTATTCAGGTATAAATTTCAGTACGGCACCAGCAGAAAAATTGTCGTTATACCGAATTAATTTAAATATTCGCGCCTCGCGAACAAGTCGTACTGCTTGTAAGAAATGACATTTCACCACTTCACCAGTGCTGTCCACTGAGTTGGCTTGGGATATGAGAAAAATATAGGAGAGTGATTTTGAAACAAGTGTTTCCATTCTAAAATCCGTTGAAATGGAACTGGAGGCAGTAAATCTAAGCCAGATTTGCCGGACATGTAAATGTGTCGCGCCCCAGATGCGGTCCCTCTTCGAAGGGTACGAAAATGCACATCAGAGTCCCCGTATTGACGAGATGCTAATGGCCTGTACTTCAGTTCAGGTAAATATTGCTCGATCGCAAACAAAAATATTTTGAAAATGCAAGTTTCCACAACATTTTTTTATCAGGTGATGCTGGGAGACGGCCTGCCAGCACAAATGTGTCAGATGTGTGTGGAACAACTCAAAAACGCTTTTCTTTTCAAACGTCAATCCGAAAAAATAGATGCCAGTTTAAGGGAGTACGCAAAAAATGTTAAAGTTAACGAAATAAAGCAGGAGTTGCAGAATTCCGACTTCATGGGTGAGTTATTGTATCAAATAACTTAGTTGAAGTGATTGGTGACATCGTACTTTCAGAATCCTTAAACACCTTAAACAACCTGCTAAACGAACAGTCCTCCTCTAAGGTAAACAATGCAGACACTTCGATGCCTTCCATTGCTCCCAAAATCGAGACGGACTACATCCAGTTCCTGGATAACAACCAGATGCTCCTCACGTGCCGTGAATGCGCAAAGATTTTCACTACCCTGGAAGGTCTGCGGTGCCACAAACGCATTCACACGGGAGAAATGTACAAGTGCAAGCAGTGCGACAAGGCGTACACGAGATTGAACCACCTTCAACGGCACGAGCAGTCGCATACCCGTAGGAAGGTGCACGTGTGCAGGATCTGCAGTAAGACGCTGACGCGGATGGAGCACCTCAAGAGGCACCTGGTGACGCACTTGAGGGAGAAGCCGTTTTCGTGCAATACTTGCAATAGGGGCTTTAACAGGATAGAGCATTTGCAGAACCATACGCCTAGGTGCAAAGGTAGGGAATAAATTTGAATAAAGTTTGATATTTTTTTTTCTACAATCATTTTTCAGGCGACATCGTCTACCCTTGCAACATCTGCAACAAGGCGTTCAACAGAGTAGACAGTCTCGAGGTTCACAAAACCATGCACGACAACCAGCAGCCCGAACTACCCACCATCGAAAACTTGGACAACATAGAGGACCACTACTACCAGATCGACCAAGATGCTGATGCTGTATTCTCCGATCACTCGGACATAGACGACTGTTTTGAACCCCAGGTGGAGGTGACGGAGAGCCTAGATGATGATCACATCAAAGAAGTGGCAGAAATGGGCTTACCTGATGAAGAGAGCAACGCCAGCGAAGCTTCCGTGGCGGGCGGAGACAAGGATAACGACATCGATAGCAGTTTGGATAAAACGGTGGAAAATATCGAAAACGAGGAAGGGGAAGACAACAAAGACGTGAAAGTAGAGGATAGTTTGGAAGAAGTAGAGAATTTCCCAGTGGACGACGATAATATCGCAGATGTCGTCAATGACGGTGAGTATAAAATATAAGGGGGCGAGTTTTCCTCGATTACGTTTTAATTTTAGTCGGCGAAGACTCTTGCGACAGTGCAGACTCCGAGTACCTCCCCAAGAAACTCGTATCTCCGAAAATAAAACGCGGCCGGGGCAGGCCGCGCAAGAACCCCGATGCTCCGCCAAGACCGAGAGTGAAGGTCCCGGGCAGGGGTCGAGGTCGTCCCCCCACCAAAGGTGTCAAGAAAGAAGAAAAGGACGAGGAGTACGGTGAGTTCCCTTGCCCGGCTTGTCAGGAAATGTTCAACACGATGAGTTCGCTCGATAAACACGCCAGGATTAAACACGAGGGCTTGAAGGTGCACAAGTGCAACGTGTGCAAGAAGGAATTCAGCAGGGCCAATCACCTGAAGAGGCACGTCACCTCACATTCTAGCGTTAAGCCTTTCCGCTGTCACGTGTGTACTAAGAGTTTCAATCGAAGGGATCACTTGAATCAGCACCAGAAACTGCACGAGAGGAGTAACGATTTCGAGTGCGACATTTGCCAGAAGACGTTCAATCGAGCGGACCTTTTGGCAAAGCACAGAGCCTCAAAGCATGGCATCGGAGAAAAGGTTTGTCCCACTTCTGATTATCAATCAATCCCACTTCTGATTATCAATCAATCCCACTTCTGATAATTTCCCCCTGACAATAACTCGTTTTCAGATCATGGGCGAGAAGAAATATGAGTGTCCGCTGTGCCACAAGAGCTTCACGACGGAGAAATACCGAGACGTTCACGTCAACGGGCACAACGGACAGAAAGAGTACCAGTGCAGGGTGTGCGAAAAAACCTTTCTCTCGAAATCCCACCTCACCGAGCACATGAAATTCCACAACGAGCATGCCAAGAAATTTCTTTGCTCGGAGTGCGGCCAACGGTTCATCAGAAACGATTATTTGGTTATCCACATGCGTAGGCACAGGGGAGAGAAGCCGTTCAAGTGTAAATACTGCGGAAAAGGTAAGGGTGCCGACTGAAAACGTAATTATTAAGTGTCCGATTTTTAGGCATACAAACAACAAAATTTGCAAAGTTTCTCAATGTATCAGTTCCCAGCTTAGGCGTTTTCCTTCATATCATATGCATGCAAATGTGAAAAGCAGTTTATTTTCACATTTTATTTATTCCAGCCTAAAAGTCTGATGTTTACTAGATATAGTATCGTGTAACGTGTGTTTATTTATTTGTGTACAAATTTTGAATAATAGGCTTTCCGAGGACGACAGATTTGACAGTACACGAACGGTACCACACTGGGGAAAAGACCCACTTGTGTACGATATGCGGAAGAGGATTTGGAAGGTAATTGTTTCAATTTAGGGATGTAAATACACCTATATTATTTTCTTGTATCTTTCAGGGCTTACAACTTGACAGTACACATGAGGACCCACACCGGAGAAAAACCGTATCAGTGCACGTACTGCGATGCGGCTTTCGCGCAAGGCAATGATCTTAAGGCTCACATCAGACGACACACGGGCGAAAGGTTCCAGTGCGAATTGTGCAGCGACAGTTTCCTCATGGGTTATCTGCTCACGCAGCACAAACGGACTGTTCATGGTAAGTGAATGAAACGGAGCATAGTAATTGAAGTAATTTTCATAAAAAATTTATCCCACTTCTGATTTGTTGTAATCCATAATTATTTTATTGTAACGGGATATTAATAAATTAAGACTTGGTTTTTTTTAGGTTTGAATGTCGTGAGCAACATCCGACGTCTGCAGCCCGTCCACAAGCAGGAAAACCCGGACGAGCCACCTCCGATCACCATACCCCTGCCTAAGCCAGTAGTGCCGGAAAACATCATGTTCAATGCCATGCACGTCAACGCCATGCATGCGAACACGTTGCATGCGCAACTGACGGTGGCGCAGTTTCACCTTACAAGGGAATAGAGGAATGGAACTGGATTTTGGAATAGCCAGCGGGAGCGTTAGGGAGATTCGGGCGATTTTAGATGCTACATCTGTATTTCTGTAAATTTTGATCACATATCAGAAGCGGGATCTTCTATACAACTAATCAAAAATGGAGAACGTCGCTGAAACTTAATTAAAAAAAAAACACTCGTCATAATTAAAAAAGTAAAAACTCAAGTTTATGTGAGTGGACAAGTAGAATAGAAGAGCTAATTGAATTTCGTAGATAAAAAGTACGAAAACTTATTAAAAATGGTTGCTACTATGATTATCTTATTTTAAAAAATCGTAGCTTAGATAAGTCTAAATATTTATGTGTATATAGTTTCCCTGTTAATTTTGTACATTTTTATAATCTATCTGTATTATAATGTACCGCAGTTTTATAAGAATAAATAAATATTTTTTTCAAAATCTCTCTGTCCTCTCTAATGGAAATACTGCTACAATCAGAAAAACGACTAAAACTAATTGAAAATATTCATTTATATTGAATATCTATGGCTCTATAGCGCAACTTGATAAGTATATTGATTATAATTTGTAGGTTATATCTCATAAAGCGACCTACACCAATTTAAAAGTAATGCTTTGTGTCAGTAGGCATTGAGTATCAATGACATTTACTTTGTTGGTTATATCCCACAGGGCGACCTACGTCAGTAGGCACGAAGTAAAGCTTCGTGTCAGTAGGCATTGAGTTACAAGGACATTTAAGATTGACATATAATTTATAGGCCATATCAACACTCCTAAGTATGTATTAGAAGTTTGTGGCCATATCTCACAGACCGACCTACGTCAGTAGATACAAAGTAATGTTTTGTGCTAGTAGGCATAATGGACCAATGATATTTAAATTCTACAGAATAACTCACGGATCTATCTACAAATTACAAATATCATTGTCTAGAAATAAAAATACCGCTTTCAGTTTATTGAAACTATTGATATATAAATAGGACTATAATTTAATATTACAAAAATTTGTCATTTACTTCATTTTAAGTGAAAAATTGCAAACCGTCATACTAGATTCAAATATTCCGCCAGTCGCAGCAGGTTGTCGGGCTTGTGGGAAGTGTCATTTCACCAGTGCTGTCGACTGAGTTGGCTTGGGTTGTGACGAAAATAAATGGAGTAATTCGCAAACAAGCCCTCCCGTTGCAAAAGCGGACGAAATGGAATTGGAAACGTTAAATCTGACCCAGATTTGCCGGACATGTAAATGCGTTGCGCCCCAGATGCGATCCCTCTTCGAGGGGTACGAAAATCTGCAACAAAGTCCCCGTATTGACGAGATGCTAATGGCCTGTACTTCTGTTCAGGTAAATATTGCCCGCCTTGGTCGAAAATTTGTGGGGAAACTTAAAATTATTTTTTGCAGGTAATATGTGGCGACGGTCTACCTGCCCAGATTTGTCAGGTATGTGTGGAACAACTCGAGAATGCTTTTCTATTCAAACGGCAAGCCGAAAGAATAGATGCCAGTTTAAAAGAGTACGCGAAAAATGTAAAAGTTAACGAAATTAAGGAGGAACTGCAAAATTCTGATTTTATGGGTGAGTCTATCTTCATAGAATAAATAGATTGTAACCTATGGTCTACAGTTAACATTCAATAATATTTATCATCACAGATCTTGTTCATTGATATTACTGTTTCTTTCTAAGCGAGAAACGATCTTTCAGAATCCCTAAACACTTTGAGCAACCTTCTAAATGAACAGGTCAAAGAAACCGACCAAGAACCGTCCGTCTCTCCTATCCCGAAAATCGAGACCGACTACATCCAGTTTCTGGACAACGACCAGATGTTGCTGACCTGTCGCGAATGCTCGAAAATTTTCAGCACGATAAAAGGGTTGCGGTGGCACAAACGCGTCCACACCGGCAACTTGTACAAGTGCGGTAAGTGCGACAAACAATACACGAGACTGAACCACTTGCAAAGGCACGAAGAATCGCACACGAGGAAAAAAGTGCACGTGTGCAAGATCTGCAGTAAGACACTGGTAAGGATGGAGCACCTCAAGAGGCACCTGGTGACCCACTTGAAGGAGAAACCGTTCTCTTGTACGACCTGCAACAGGGTGTTCAGCAGGGTGGAGCACCTGCACAATCATACGCCGAGGTGCAAAAGTAAGTTTTCATTATGTCAAATTCCTCTTAATGTCCTATTATGTGTACAGGGGACATCGTTTACCCTTGCGACACCTGCAACAAGGCGTTCAACCGGGAGGATAGCCTCGAAGTGCACAAAAAAATGCACGACAACCAACCCAAGCTACCCACTATCGAAAACCTCGACAATATTGAGGAGCACTACTATCAGGTCGATCAAGACGTCGAAGCCGTATTTTCCGACTACTCCGATGTAGACGATTGTTTCGAACCCCAAGTGGAGGTGACGGAGGGCTTAGAAGACGATCATATCAAAGAAGTGGTGGAAACAGGCTTGAACGATGATGAAAGCAACGCCAGCGAGGCTTCCATGGGCGGTGGTAACGATAACGATAACGACAACAGCGTGGAGAAAGTAACCGAGTGCCTAGAAAATGAAGAAGTCGACGATAAGAAGGATGTGAAGGTGGAGGATGCCTTGGAGATGAAGGATGATATTATAGAGGTCGAAGATAATGCAATCGACATTGAACGTGATGGTAAGTTTGAAAAAATATCAGTTTTGTAATGCGGAAAATGTATTTTAATATGTGCGGTGCTGTCCAGTGACGGCGTAGACGAGAGTTTAGATGCAGTTTAAAAAATGGATTACATATTGACTATTCACTTGATTTAAAAAAATTATGTTTGAGGTTAGTATTCTGGGGAACGTGTTATCTACCCCCAAAAAACTAATCTTAATTCTAAAACAGAACTATAATTTTTTTGTTGCTTATATCTATTTTCAGCTGGGGAAAACTCCGGGGATACCACGGATTCCGAATACCTCCCCAAAAAGAGCTTATCTCCGAAAATCAAACGGGGTCGTGGCAGACCGCGCAAAAATCCCCTAAAACCCCTGAAAATTAAGGTGCCGGGCAGGGGCAGGGGCCGACCGCCCGTGAAAATCAAAAAAGAGGAGAAAGACGAGGAATACGGGGAGTTCCCTTGCCCGGCTTGTCAAGAAATATTCAACACGATGAGTGCGCTCGACAAACACGCCAGAATAAAACACGAGGGGCTGAAAGTTTACAAATGCGGCGTGTGCAAGAAGGAATTCAGCAGGGCCAATCACCTGAAGAGACACGCCACCACCCACTCCACCGTTAAGCCTTTCCGCTGTCTCGTGTGTACGAAGAGCTTCAACCGAAGGGATCATTTGAATCAACACCAGAAGTTGCACGACAAGAGCAACGCTTTCGAATGCGACATTTGCCACAGAACGTTTAGCCAGTCCGACCATCTGGCGAGGCATAAAGCCTCGAAACACGGCTTCAGAGATAAGGTTTGTAGCGGATACGGAAAAATCCCACTTCTGATCGGCACCGAACGTTCGCTTTCTTTCAGATCATGGGCGAGAAGAAGTACGAATGTCCCCTGTGCCTTAAGAGATTCACGACTGAGAAATACCGGGACATCCACGTTAACGGCCACAACGGGCACAAGGAATACCACTGCAAGGTGTGCGAGAAATTGTTCCTGTCCAAGTCGCACCTCACCGAGCACATGAAATTCCACAACGAACATTCCAAGAAGTTCCTCTGCTCGGAGTGCGGCCAGCGGTTCATCAGGAACGATTATTTGGTTATACACATGCGCAGGCACAGGGGGGAGAAGCCGTTCAAGTGTAAATATTGCGGAAAAGGTAAGCAAATACAATATGACAGCGGTCATGTTTATACGGAGGCTATCTCTGACCTTTAGCTTCTAAAGTCAATAGTTTTTTTTGTTCAAATTCAGTTGTAAAAACTTAAATTCTTTTTAAACCTTCTTCTAGTAATTTTTCATACTCTGCCGTTGGACAAGCTAGTGCGACTTCAAACAACGACACACTTTAGTCGCAGTACATGTACAATTGGCGACTGAGCTGTGCATTATTGTCAAATCTCATATTTAAGAGGGTTCTTTAACAAATATGCAACCAGCAATACTTTTTTGTAGATTTTATTACACAGTTTGTCTAAATGTGAATTAATGCACAAATGACAGACTTTCCCCCATTTTAACGCAGATTTTCTATAAAATGGAGTTTGAAACTAAAATTACTTTTTGTTGTAAAGAAATTTGTAATTTGCCACTTGTAAACAAGTGGTATCGTAAATTACAAATTTCTTTACAACAAATAGTAATTTGAGTTTCAAACTAACTCCATTTTATAGAAAATCTGTGTTAAAATGGGGGAAAGTCTGTTATTTGTGCATTAATTCATATTTAGATAAACTGTGTAATAAAATCTATAAAAATGTATTGTTGGTTGCATATTTACTATAGAGCCCTCTTAAAGAAAAGGTTATGAAAAAGCCACTATTATAAACTGCACAGTCACACAAAGAAAAAAGTTATCTGTACTTTTCATGCGACATGTTATTTGTAGTATTTTTGCCTCCTGTTCACAAATCCAGAATTGAGCTATCACATCACAGCAATTTCTTAACCTCAAAAAACAGGTCAAAAATAGCAAAAATTCACGAAAAAGTGTTAGGAAAAATACAAAAAATTATTTTTTTCTATATTCAAATATTCATTTATATTGTTAAAACCCCGCCGAACGTGAATCCGCGGTCAGAATTGACGGTTCTTTTTCTAACCTCAAAAAAACGGGTCAATTAAGGTCAATCACGAATTTTTAAAAAATAGATTCGCGCCAAATTTGGTATACGGGAGTTTTCGAGGTCGCTGATCACGGATCCGAGGTCAATTTTACAAAATTCAAGATGACAGATCCAAGATGGCTGACCAAATTTTCAAAAAATAACATTCGCGACAAATTTGGTATAAGGAGGTTTTTAGGGTCGCTGACCACGGATCCGAGGTCAATTTTGTAAAATTCAAGATGGCGGCCGACCAAATTTTCAAAAAATAACAATCATGCCAAATTTGGTAGGTATAGTGGGGTTTTCGGAGTCACTGATCACGAATCCGAGATCAGATTTACAAAATTCGTTTTCAAAAATTTAATCAATGTACTTTTTACTTGAGATTAGATAGAAAACCCGTGAATAGATCTTTTACAGAAAAAAGAACAAGATATAGCCGAGAAAAAGAAGGTTAAAACATGATTGAGTACTCCGGTTATAGTCATCACAAATATTACAAAATGAATTTCGCAATTCTGACCTCGAATACAAAATTAGCGACCCCGAAAAATTCCAGTATACCAAATTTAGCGCAAATCTGTTATTTTTTGAAAATTTGGTCGGCCATCTTGGATCCGCCATCTTGAATTTTGTAAAATTGACCTCGGATCTGTGTGCTATGAAACAGTTCCCAACAAGTAATCTAACAGAACGCTCAAACAGTAATCAATAAATGAAATATACAAAAATAAGTAAAGAATCTGCTTAGTCACCTGATTTTTACAGCATATGACATACTTGAAATTTTGTGCCTTCAAAGCCCACAAAATCTCTTAAATGTTAAACCAATCTTAAAAGCATTTTCTTATCGTAATCTATCTGGTATCGTCTTTGCTTCGGAGAAAAAGTAAGCCCTAACCATAATCACCAATTACACTCACCTGATTTCTATCATGCTTTTTCATATCGTAAAAAAAAAAATTTAAAACTATAACAAAACTACACTGTACTAAACACTGAAATAAATAACTTTATAAAATTATACACTTGAACCACACAAAGGCACATTACTAACATCCTCTCGTAAACTGATAATGTCAAAAACTGAACTAAAAATGTAACCAAATGAAACGGTGAAGTATTCGGCTATTCCCGTTTTATAACAGGTGCAAAGACAGTCGGCGTATCCGCTTTTAAAAGTGACATTGCAACAAAACAACAGTGGCTAACCTCCGTTGCACTTTGGAAGCATTGGGAACATGAAGGAATTCTACTTAAATTTAAACTGTTCAGTTTAAATTTTGTTTTTACTTTATTTATTTGGGATTAATTAAATATCTCTAGCACCGATTCGCTGCTGACGTGGTTGAATAAGAAAAAAAAGTGGAAACACCGCATTTCTCTACATCCCTGTTTTAGTTGTCCTAAAGATCAGCTAAACTAGGTCAATGTCAGAGGTCATTCACACAGATTCATAAATTAAATACGTACACAGCTTTAAAAAATTGGTACCACATAAATGTTTGTAAAAAAAATATTTCGTATCAATCACATTAGTATTTTCACTTATTTTTTGTTTGTTTTTTAAAACAGCAAAAATAATCTAATTTTTCATTCAAAATTTTACAAATTTAAATTGAGAAACATTTTCGTTATTCAGAGAAAAATTATTTTGACCTTCAAATGACTTACAAGGACATACCGGAAAACAATTTTTGACCTCATATTCAAACTTAAAATTTGGTGTTTATTGATTGCTGGCATAAAAAAGGTTTGACCTTGAAACTTAAAGTCAAGATCAAATCCAAGGTCGCCAGCATTTTAACTTCATGACGTACTACTTTTATCTCCAATCATTTTCCATACAATTTCTTTATTTTAAAATAATAGGTTTCCCGAGAACAACGGATTTGACGGTCCATGAAAGGTACCACACCGGTGAAAAGACCCACCTGTGCACGGTCTGTGGAAGAGGATTTGGAAGGTAGATTCAATTTCATCTCCAAAGAGACTTAAAATTTTTGTATTTGACGTTTCTTAGGGCCTACAATCTAACAGTACACATGAGGACCCACACTGGCGAGAAACCGTATCAGTGCACATACTGCGACGCCGCTTTCGCGCAAGGAAACGATCTTAAGGCTCACATCCGGAGGCACACGGGGGAACGCTTCCGATGCGACCTGTGTAGCGACAGCTTCCTCATGGGGTATATGCTCACCCAACACAAACGAACGGTTCATGGTGAGTACAAGACATTCAAATCAGAAGCGGGATAATTCGGTGGAAGAAATCCCGCTTCTGATTTGCCCGATAAATTTCCGAGAGGTTACCTCTGTGTGATCCGTTTAGGTCTAAATGTCATCAGTAACATTCGTCGGCTCCAACCCGTTCACAAACAGGAAAATTTCGACGAGCCTCCTCCGATAACGATTCCTTTGCCGAAGCCGGTGGTGCCGGACAACATGGTGTTCAATGCCATGCACTCGGATAGTTTGCACGCTCAACTGGCCGTGGCACAGTTTCATCTGACTAGGGAGTAGGATAGTAATGACGGAATATTTTGTAATGGTGAGTCGACATTTAAAGATTATTTGCTGCTGCGGCTGTGATATTGAGGAAGTTACGCTTTCTAGAATGTGTTCTTTTTCTCTTTCAGATACACTTGCCTTTTGTACATAAATATAGGGAGGTCATTTTATTATAATAATAGTAATAATAATCCCATAGGTATATAGGGTGTAGCTTCGAATGGGGGTCATATTTATAGGGAGGCTATCTTTAACATTCAGAAACACAAGTTTGTTTCCTTAATTCCGGTATGGGGACTGTTTTTTTTTTAATAAGCAATCACTTGCTTGCTGTCTGCCTTGCGCCCTGTTGTCATATCTCATCAGGTGGATTGATATCAAATAGTTCACTTAAGAGGGCTCTATAGCAAATAGCCAACCATTTTTATAGATTTTATTACACAGTTTGCCTAAATATGAATTAATGCACAAATAACACGCTTTCCCCCATTCTAACGCAGATTTTCTTAATTAATTAAGAGTTAATTAATAATTAACAAGTTAATTGTACATTAATTCATATTTAGACAAACTGTGTAATAAAATATATAAAAATGCTGGTTGCCTATTTCGTATATTTTCCGAGGTTCACAAACTAAACACAGTGCTTTAAAAAGTATTGACAAATACTTTTGAGAGTATTTATTTTATAAAACAGCAGTTTCGTTCTTATTGACATTAAGGAAGTATGATAACTTTAAAATAATGTCACAGAATCATACAAAAGTAATCTGTTTTTATGGAATTATTTTCCATTACAGTTTTTCTGATAAGTGTGCACGTACAACCGAGTTTGGTGCTGTCCAGTGACGGCGTAGACAAGAGCTTAAATGTAGTTTAAAAAACTAATTACATACAACTATTTATTTCATTTAAAAAATAATAATTTCAGGTTAGTAATACACCAAAAAAACTGAGCCGCCCCCATTTAAAGTTACACCTTGTTTAAAGTATATCACGAATAATTATTTGTTTTGGAGGCACATTGTCTTCCAAAGTCTCACTTTAGTCTTTCACGTATCTCTTCATTTTAATTATTTCTCTTTAGCTAGATATTTTAAAGGTGGTACAAATTCACTAAAACATCTTTGAAATACTTTTAAATTTCACAGTTCAATATATATAGATATATTTCTTTTTAAATATTGCATATAGAACGAAGAAAAATATTAAAATGTGTAACGGTTACTTTTATGTTCAGGTTGAACATATCCGAGAAGTTTTTGTACAGTAATTTTACAGTATGTATGCGAATTACTTTTATACAATACTATTGTAATTTTGTTATCGCCACGTTCCTGACGACCTGTATATTGGTATTACTTAGTTTACAGACACACTATTTGATGTTTTACTAATAGGTATTTTTTTTGTAACTTGTAGGTTCAGTAATCATTGTAAATAAAGTATTTTGTTAGATGGTTAACAGGTTAATAAAGAAAATCAAATTGTTGAATCTTTTTTTATTTTACCTTAAATATGTCGTTATTTGATAAGGGATCCTTTCAGTATAAACATGGGAATTGCATTTTTTAATTTCAAATGTTTAAACAACGTCATTAGGCGAAAATTTTAAATCTAGCGCCAAATGTAATTTTTGGAATACTTTTGTCTATTGCGATGGTAACGTGCGCCCAACAACAACAGATATGAGGACCAGAGGCTCCATCTAACTTTTATTAAACAGTTTTATGGAAGTTAGTCTGCCAGGGGGCAGCGGCGAGCAACGTAGTCAGATCTAAGATGTCATGCCTTAAAAAGAGATAAATTGTTAGTTAAACTGTTATAAACGGGTAGTAGAAGTGGTAAATGTAACAAATAATAATGATAAATTTGTAATTTGTTAGATCTAAGGGCGTCGATCGTGGTGCCCCCTGAACTTGATGGCCTACAAACCTCCAAAATTGTGTTGAATTTACGCCATTTATCTATTTTTGTTACAAAACACAATTTTATATTTTTGCAAAACTATCTAGGTAATATTTACTGTTTACGTAGGATAACCTATAAACCCAACATGTTTGTTCGCACAACAGTTAGAAACCACCAAGGACTGTCCGACACATTCGCATTTTGTTAAACGTGTTCGTACAACGAAATGGGAAAGTAAACAATGTTTGTTATTTAGTCTTCCCTCCATCTTAAATTATCTATGGTCCCCTCTTCTGTGATATTCTATCCATTCTACGGGGATGCATTCTATGGTGAAATTTCTGCGTCCTCTTCTGTCAAGTGTCAATACTGTCGATTATTTAAATTATTATTGTATTTATAAATGAATGTTTGAATATGCATTGCATCATGTATGATTTTACAAAGATTTAATTTTGAATAATTTTTGAGCAGACCAAAGCAAACAATTAAACTGCATAAAATTCGGTGATTGTGTCACTTCTCATTTCACCAGTTTTGTGGACTAGGTGATCTTAGGTTGTGACAAGAATATAATGTAATTTTGCCTTCCAAATATCCAACAAAATGGAATTGGAAACTCTAAATCATTTAAATGAACAATCTAAAGGAAATAACCAGGAACCATTACCTGGCTTTCCCATGATTCCAAAAATTGAAACCGACTATAACCAATTATCGGACGACCAATTGTTACTGACCTGTCATGATTGTTTCAAAATTTTCACTACAATAAAAGAGTTGCAGTGGCACGAACGCGTCCACACTGGCAACTTATATAAATGCAGTAACTGTGACAAACAATATACGAGGCGAAATCACTTGCAAAGACATGAAAATTCACACACTCGGAGAAAAGTACATGTTTGCAAGATCTGCAGCAAGACGCTGGTGAGAATGGATCACCTCAAAAGACACCTGGTGACCCATTTGAAGGAGAAACCCTTTACTTGTAAGACCTGCAACAGGGCTTTCAGCAGGACGGAAAGCTTGCATAGACATATGCCTAGGTGTAAAAGTACGTTTCTGTTATGCAAAAATTTATTTCCAGTTTTAACAGGTTTTTATATTTAGGTGACGTTGTTTACCCTTGTGATACTTGCAACAAAACGTTCAATCGAGAAGATACTTTTGAGGTGCATAAAAAGATGCATGGCAACCAACCCAAGCTGCCTACAATAAAAGATCTCGGGAATATAGAAGAACACTACTACCAGGTTGATCAAGATGTTGATGCCACACTTTCTGATTACTCTGATGTGGATGACTGTTTTGAATCCAAAGTGGAGGTGACGGAAAGCATGGATGAGGATCGAAATAAGAAGGTAATAGATATAGGGTCGAATGACGATAATAGTATGGAAGAAGTAGCGGAGTGTTTAAAAAATGGAGGTGGTCACAAAAAAGACATGAAGGTTGAGGATACGTGGGAAATCAATAATATTGCGGGGGATGGAGAGAGTTTAAAAATTGATGAGGTGGGTTACACGAGTGTGGTGAAAGTAGAGGATACTTCAAAAATGGAGGAAAATAATCTACAACATACAGAAGGCGTAGAAAAAGAGGAAGTAGATTACACAATGGAGGTGAAGAAAGAGGATACTTCTGAAACGGAGGATAATATCGTAGAGGGTGAAGGAAGTGTAGAAAATGAAATTGATTATGTAGAGGTGAAAATAGAGGATAAATTGGAAATGGAGGATAATATTTTAGAGCATGGAGGTAACACAGCCGAAATAAGATGTGACGGTGAGTTAAAAAAATTAAAAAGTGATGTTTAAAATCAAATATTTCAGTTATTTAACAACTTCATATCAGTTTCAAACTCTTTTACAAAGGATAGACGTAAACTACTTTAAAAAGTATTTTTTTTTGCATTAATCAACTTTTATTACAGCTGGGGGATATCCTGAAGACTGTACGGATTCAGAATATCTCCCCAAAAAGAGTCTATCGAAAATCAAACGTGGTCGTGGTAGACCACGTAAAAACCCGCTTTCAAAAGCGGAAGTTCATAAATGCAACATATGCAATAAGGAATTTAGTAGGGCCAATATTTTAAAGACGCACATCACTTCTCATTCCACTCTTAAACCTTTCCGCTGCGATGTGTGTTCAAAGGGCTTTAATCGAAAGGATCACTTGGTCAACCATATAAAGTTGCACAATAAGGACAATGGTTTTGAATGTGACATATGCAAGAGGACATTTAGCCAAGCTGGATATCTGTCAATGCATAAGGCTGCAAGACATGACACCGAAGGAAAGGTTTGTATGTAATACAAAAAATCCCACTTCTGACAATTAAAGAATCCAAATTTTGCGTGAACTTTCTTTCAGATCATAGATGAGCAAAGGTATGAATGTTCCTTGTGCCTCAAGAGATTTAAGAGTGAGAAATACCGGGATATTCACGTTAACGGACATAACGGACACAGGGATTACCAATGCAATGTGTGCGAAAGAACTTATCTCACCAAGGCCCGCCTTATGGAACATATGAAATCCCACGGCGAACGTTTCAAGAAGTTCCTCTGCTCCGAGTGCGGCCAGCGGTTCATCAGGAACGACTATCTGGAAATCCACATGCGCCGACATCGGGGAGAAAAGCCATTTAAGTGTAAATACTGCGACAAAGGTAAGCAAATAGTGTAGAGACACCATCAGGCAAATATTTATTTTATATAACAGGCTTTACAAGAACGACGGATTTGACTATTCACGAGATAGGCCACACTGGGGAAAAGAGTCACTTATGTATGGTTTGCGGTAAAGGGTTTGGAAGGTACATTCCGTTTTGCCTCCAAAGACACTTAAAATTATTATATTTGACGTTTCTTAGGGCCTACAATTTAACGGTACACATGAGGACCCACACTGGAGAAAAACCGTATCAGTGCACATACTGCGTTGCTGCATTTGCTCAAAGTAACGATCTTAAAACTCACATTCGGACGCACACGAAGGAACGGTTCCGATGTGACCTGTGTAGCAACAGCTTCCTCGTGGGCCATTTGCTCACCAAGCACAAACGAACAGTTCATGGTGAGTACCGATAAACGGCAGTAAAATTAAAATCAGAAGTGGGGTAATTCTTTAGATGCACCCCGCTTCTGATTTTCGTAATAACAGTAAAAAAACAGTTGTTTATTCATACTAAGCACAATGCATATTATGCCCATTTCAAAAGGTCTTAGATGGAGATTCTGCATCCTATCTTATATAATATTTTACAGTATTTATTTTGTATTTCTATTACAAGTTTAACTGAAAGGTGGTTTTATAAATATCTTTTACAGTTTTTGTAGTCTGTCTTGAATGGTTTGGGTTTTTGTTTTTTCATAGAGCACGTGATAAGAAATTTTATGTTGCTGTGATGTTCGTGTGAAAAACTATGTTAATATTTTTTGATAAATTTCGTAAGCAAAATTACCTGATTTTTTTTTTTTAGGTTTAAATGTTATTGGTAATAAACAACGACTACAACCTGTCCAAAACAAGAACTTGGACAAACCATCTCCGCCTATAGTTCCTGTTTCCAGTTAATAGGAGATAAACGACAGTTTATTTTGTATCGGTAAATCGAAATTTAAATAATTTTTATCCTCGTTTACAAATTTTATTGAGAACACATTTTTTCTTCGATGTTTTCTTTTTCATATGCATTTGTCTTTGTATATACATATTCACAAATATAATGAGGTCACTATTTTACTACAAAATAACGTTTTTTTTTTGTGGTCTTGCAATGTCAGTTATATTTTCACTTCATGTATTTTTTATTCAGAAAAATGGAAATGCTCATCTAAAATATTTTTGGGTTACTTCACAACTTATTTTTAATTTTAAGTGTTCTATAGCAAATAGGCAACCAGCAATACATTTTTATGGATTTTATTACACAGTTTGTCTATGCACAAATTACAGACTTTCCCCCATTCTATCACAGATTTTCTATAAATGGACTTAATTTGAAACTCAAAATACTTTTTGTTGTAAAGAAATTTGTAAAATACGATTCCACTTATTCAAAAGCGGCAAATTACAAATTTCTTTACAACAAAAAGTTATGTCAGTTTCAAACTAAGTCCATTTTATAGAAAATCTGCATTAAAAAGGGGGAAGTCTGTTATTTGAGCATTAATTAATATTTAGACAAACTGTGTAATAACATCTATAAAAATGTATTGCTGGTTTCCTATTTGCTATAAAACACGAAACGACGAAATAGTAAAATATTAAAATGGGCAACAGTCGTTTTTGTGTTCGGGTTGAATTCAGGTACATCTGTTCATTTTTTGTACACTAATTTTATTTTGCAATTAGTTTTTTACATTTCATAAAATATGAGAAGTAAATCAGATTTTTTTTAACTTACCTCTCCATACATTTCCCAGAGTACAAATCTTTTCAATCTCCTGAGTAGATTTAGTGGTTACCTATCAAATTTGGGCGCCATCTAGTGAGAGTGAGCTCCTATTAAATTGTTTCAACTATTCTTGAAATCATCTACCGAGTATCCATTAAATTAATGATACTTTCGACTGTTTCCTTTATCAGAAATTACTTATTAGATATTTTCTTTGTTTCTCTAAATTTATAATTCTCTAAGTTACAATTAACCTGTAACTAATACACTTACAGGATCGTGAATGAATTCCAGAATCGTCTCTATAACGACCGTAGTTATAGAGATGCAAATGGAACTACTGCAACTTCACTTCGCTGAGTACGGTCGAATTTGATTTCAAATTTCTGGACTACCTATTCAAATCCTTTATCTAACAGCACAAACCAGTTTTACTGCATTAAGAGCAAAGTTATTGTTGAAAATCGGTTGATTTTCATGGAAAGTTGCGGTAAAGATGAGGTCAGGCAAAATCAGTAGAGACAGTTTTTAGAAGTAGCAGCAAACTTTATTTTTGACAGATATGTTTTAAAGATAACATTTTCACAAATAATCGGCAACATAATCAAGGACAGCTGTTATAGGTTCGTCAACAAATAGCAGGCGTATCGTTCTCCGAAAAAAATCCTTAGGACTATGAGACTATTATTATTATTATTACACATTTAAAGAATACGTAACATAAAAAAAGAGTACGAATGTCCAGGGGTTGTTTTAATACTTTTATTAAAGTTTGAGCAATCTAATGGTAGACCATTTTCAGCGCTTTTTTAACTGAAAAAATTTAAAGTTACGTTACGTTATTAGTACTTCGTTTCGTGTTGATTAGACCTTAACCCCTCAAATTGTATGGAAATTTGTGCAAGTGACGTTAAATTTTGATCTATAATAATTAATTTATAATGTGCATATAAAAAAGCTATTTTTTTCAAAAATTCATCTTTTTTTGAGTTGGGTGAAAAAATTTGAAAAAATTCTTAGAGGTTCTCAGTGGGGTAGAAAACAACAAAAAAGTTTCAGCCAAATCGAAAAGGGTCAGGGTTAAAAGTAGTCGATTTAGCGTGGAATGCCCCATATGTAAACTTTCAGATATAAGAACCTTTTTTTAATGGAACACCCTGTATATATTTAAAGGTATCTATAGAAGGCTTTTTTGCAATGCATCAATATTTTGTTTGGATATATTTCATTTATTATTAAAGATAAACTCATTGATCCTTCTACCAATAATGATAAATGAAATACACAACAAAAATAAATAGTCTGCTGATGGCTTCTGGCGATGAAAAACATTCCAATTCACTGTTAGATGTAGTGTCTCCAAATGCGGAACAACTGACCCCATTCTCTTTGTCACTGTTGACCCACACTATCTCCCTTCACATGCACTGTAGGTTGCCTACAATTCATGTATTTGTAATACATGAATATTACAGTGGCGGCATTCACAAGTATTAAAGTGCATTTTAAAAAACTAATTATAAATCGACTATTTATTTGAATAAAAAAAAAGAATATCAGATTCGTATTCCCCTAAAAAATTAACCTCCACTTAAAGTTACACCCTGTAGAAAGGTAGAAGGTCATCATTTGAGAACAAGACGATTGGCTATTATTTGATCTTGATCTGAAATCATAGCGCAAAAGAAGGTACTAATAATCTCTATTCAGATAACGACAAATTTTGAGGTTATTTTCCCTCCAAGCGTTGCTGAAAATGGTTTATATAAGGTGTTAGAAGTTTGACTGCCTTAATTTTAACAAACGATAGAATACATTAAAATAAACAAAAAAACCATATATGACATGGGTCCTAAACTCAACCAATTCCCAGAACAAAAATTATCAAAATTTCTGTAATAAATTTAAAATTCGATAAAATTCATATCGAGCAATGTGACAACGGCGCGGCAGTTTATTAATACGAGGTACTATGGTGTCCAGCAATATGCAATTCAGTTGGTATCTGGAATTGGACCGTGTTGGTGTGTTTTTTGTGTACCACTATTTCCTTTTCTTGAGGCGTTTTCCAGCTAGTGCGCGAAAATTGGATTCGAAGGTGTCGTGGGTGGACACTTTGAGCATATGTTGTAGCTTGTTTTGAACTTGTGCGTTTAAAAATACTGAATTTTGCTTTTTGGTAAGTACCTAAATTATTTTTAATACATATGATTATTTGGACAACGTGAATCTTTGGGTACTTTAATTACATAATATTCAAATACGTAATTTGATTAAAAGTTAAGTTCCTGTTTTAAGATATTCATAATTACTAAAATTCAAGCTAAAATCTAAAATCTAAGCACAACACTCTTCGTACTACAAAATCGATACATTTCATTTTATTTATTTAAAAACTGGAAAACAATTGTCTTGAAATTTACTAAATGTTTCAAAATAATAGCTGTTTACATTTTTTCCATAGGACAAGTCTGCTGCGTGAACACGTGGTGTGATGAAACTCCCCAATATTAACACTCGCAGTATTTTGAAAACTGTTAATCTTACACCACTGTAATATACAACTTTTTTGTTCATTTATCTCAAGCTGAAGTAATGTCAGTCAAACTTCTTACAGTATCATTCGATAAATAATGGCATATCAATTCCGAACAAAGTCGAATAAAAACTCGAATTAACACAGCCAATGTAATTGTGGCGTATAATTTTGTGTGTCGTCTGACATATCAAAACTGTTAAAATAATTAATTTCCTTGACGTTCTGTTAGTATTTATTCGTCTTATACAATATGACATTAGCTATCGAAAAAAACAAACATATTACACGATGACAAAAAAATATGCGGAATGTAAAATTGCGCTTACATTTAATAAATAAAATCACTTATAAGTAAGTATAACTTATCGTAATGAAGCGTAAGCCAGATATTTGTTTTCACGAGGGAAAGAAAGTTATAATTATTAGGTTATACGTACGAAATATATTAAACTTTATTTTTAAACTTTTCTAAGGTGAGTTTAAGTATAGGTGAAGTGAAACTATTCAGGTCGGGAATAGCAGGTTGACGTGGAGATTAGAAAGATTCTTGTCCTAGTTATGTCTATATTTTGTACATAGTAGCCAAAAATTCAAAATATTTTTTAATTTTTGTTTAAAAAATTGGGAACTCTCTTTAAGCCTGTTTTACATTTACCATTTTTTAATCAGTAAATAGGTTAAAAAATATGAGACCAGTATTTTTTCTATTTTCATATTGCCTCTAAATAATTAAAATATGCATCGTGACGTCATTAAGCGCAAATTTTAAATTTGGCATTGAATGTAATAATTTTTGGAATATCTTAGTCCATTGCAGATGGCAATTGGCTTATAAATTAAAAAAGTTATTTTGGCAAGTATCGTCGGACCCATAAAATGTTAAGTTTCGTAGTAAAATGTTCTAATCATGGTATTTTAAGTCTATAAATTACTTTTAGACATTATTTATAATTTTGTTTTGCAAACAAAAAACTGTCTAATTTGTAATAAGTCGCTCAATCTGGCAACGGTGGTTTTCTGATATTTCCATTAATTATTGCAAGATTGTACTAGTGAAAAATAAGCAAAAAATGGGTGTAAAAATTACTTTCAGCTATGCCACTTCCTCAGTGTGTGCTAACAGACATGATTTTCCATATTTTTCGGTTAGTAAAGTAAAATAAAATTTCAAATTAAAATAGAGTCCAATAAAATTAAATTTTTACGTGCCAAAATTTAGTTCAGTAAACTAACACGCAAAAATTAGGAAAAATTCCGTAAAATTGTATGAATTACTATACCCCAGCTGAATGTTAGGGCTTCATTTTAAAAATGGCGTCCAAAAGTTAGTTTTTTTTTTATTAAAAAAAATTTAGAAAAAAATGTTTATTTTAGACAAAAGTTTTTATAACAAAAATTCTGAGCTCAGCCCGATGTCAATTGATAACAAATGTATTAGTTATTGCAAAAAAAACGGCTAAAAATAGAATTTTTTAAAAACTTCTCTTTTAAACAAAAAATGATTTTTTTACGAAACATTCAGAATATGTAGTTCTTGGCAAGTAGAATAAGTACATTTTTGTAAAATTGCACAATATTTGATAGTCTTGCAAAAATTTTTTCGAAGACATTTTTTTCAAGTTACAATAAATAACACAGTAATGCACTTACGTGACCCATCTTGGGCTTAAAATTTTCTCTAAGAGTTGTACTTTTCGGAATGGCATTAATTGCCATTTAAAAGCTGACATTTTTTCACGAATTTAAAAAAAAATGTTGACCTACGACCAACAGGAGTCGAGAATTTTTTTTTTTTCAAAAAATCACTACGACCTCATTTATTATTATTAAGGTCTGAAATTTACACATGTTGCAGTTGAATACTTTTACTTCAATATAAAAATTAGTCCGCTACGATTGACACTTTTTTTTTTACAGTAAACTTAATTTTGTTGGGCGCCATAAAATGCTTGCTCGGCTCGACGCGTTGACGCACGTAGTGGGGGAAAAAAACTGTGACTCAGCTGAGTTCATTATGTAGGATCGACAAATTTAATTTTTTTTATGGTTGAAAAAAACCCATTGTTTAGTGACTTTTTTAATGTTTGTTCACTGGTACCAACTTTAGTTGTTTGTTACTTCAGTTACTATGATTCATTTTTATTCTAAAAGTTGGTAGCCTTGTCCCAAAAAGCCCGAACTCCCTGATAACTTTTCAGTATTGACGCCCATCAAAAAAGTTTCAGTTAAAGGACACTCACAAAATCAATATTCTTAAGTTCCCAGATCAAACCAAGGTCACTCTGAAAATATTAAGTTGAATAAGCAATTTTTTATGTCAGCAATCAATGGAGCACAAAGTTTTATGTCTGAATATGGGGTTAGAATTTTTTTTATTCTATGTCCTTGCAGGACTTTTGAAGGTCAAACACATTTTTCTTTGAATAACTGGACAAAAATGTTTCAGGCGAAATTTGTAGGATTGTGAATAGCAAAATAAATGGTGACCTTGGATTCGACCTTCACAAGTTGCAGGGTCAAACTAAGGTTAACTTAATATCAAGTGGAATACGCAATTTTTTATACCAACAATTGATAGAGCGGCAAATTTTCTGGGATCCTGAAAATGACGGTGAAATCAAGATGGCTGACGAAATTTTTGAAAGTTAACCGATTGTCAGTAAATGTTATATACGGAGGTTTTCGAGGTCGCTGATCACGAATCCGAGGTCAGATTTTCAAAATTCAAGATGGCGGATCCAAGATGGTGGATGGGGTTTTTTAAATTTAATCCATGAGGACCGAATTTGATATACGGGGGTTTTGGGGGTCACTGACCCCACATTCGTGATCAGCAATCCCAAAAACGACCGTATACCATCTTTGATGCAAATCGACTTATTTTAAAAAAATTCGTCCGCCATTTTGAATTTCGCAAATTTGACCTTGGATTCGTGATCAGCGACCCCAAAAACCCCCGTATACAACGTTTGGTGCAAATCGGTTGATTTTGGAAAAATTCGTCCGCCATCTTGATTTCGCCATTTTGAAATTTTTGAAATGGTGAAGGTCATATATGAACATAACATTTTTCGGGGTCAAAAATTGGAATATGCAAAACAGTTTTGGATCTAAACCTAATTTTAGAACAATGCCCCTTGCACGCCCTTTTTAGCTAAATTTTCGCCCATGTCAACCCCCCGACGAGAACGCATTAGCGTAGCATTTAGACTATTAAGAAACTTTTACTTTATAAACTTTATGACTACCATCACTGTTTCATATTTAAATAACTATAATCTCTTTCCTATTTTATCCTATCTACAATTTAAACAGGCGTACCAAAGTCGGGGTCACCCACCCCGTCTGCGTTAAGCGAATTAGCGTTATAAACATATCTCGCGAGGAGCTTCTCCTTCCTCTGTTCGTTCTCCAGCACTTCGGTGTAGTCTTCGTTCGGGCACAGTCTCAAGGCCTTGCCGACTCTGAGGTTCTGCCCGTGGAGCGAGAAGTACTTTTTTGTACCGGTCGGCTTACTTATGGAAACGTTGGAAGCCGGCTGGTCTGCGACGTTCGTGAAATTCTTTATAAATATGTCGGAGAGGAGGTTGTGTATATTTTCTTCGAACTGGGTGCTGGTTTCCGGCGCGTAGACCGAATTGCACTTGACAAGCGTGGCTTTGTCTGTAGGTTCCGTTTTGTTTTCAACGTCTCTAGGCTTAACGTCATGGGTATCGACTAGGAGAGGGGGCTCGTCTCCCAGTTCCGAGGCCGTGGTGGAAATATCGGAATAGCCGTCGTGCTTGTTGAAGATGCTTTGTAACGTTTTGACTCCGAAGTACTTCTTCTTGTGCTTCCGTTGCTTTTTGTACTCCCGGTTGGGTTTGTGCAAGGGAGAACTGCCGCAGCTCTCCACCGAGTTCAAGAGGCTCTGGTCGCTTTTTGGGTTGGACAGGGAGTCATTCGACGCGTACAGCTTGGGCTCGTCGAACAACTCGTCCACTTTTTCTATTTCCAGTATGTTGGTTTCGTAGTCGAAGTTCGTTTTCTGCGGGTTGGTATCCGTCTGGAGGTTTTTGGGGCTTTGTGAGTCGTTCGAGGCTAAGTCGGTGGATAGTATCTCCGAATCCAAGTAAACGTCCGTGCTCGTTTGCATCGGGGACGATAGGTTCTCGGAATTCAGCGAGTTTGTCGACGTGTTGAAGTTATCGTTTATGTTGGAAAAGATATCCACTTTCTTGAAGTTCTCTAACTTTATGATGTTGTTGGTGGAGTTGTCGATGAGAACCAAGTCGGTTGTATCTATGTTGTAGATGTCATTTGTTATTATTTTAGTGGTTGTGTCGGGGGATTTGTTGTTATTCGAGTTGCGGTTTATAATGTTGCTCAGTTTTTCGTCGGTTGTGTGTTTGTACTCTTCTTCGTTCCCGTTGTTGGTGTTTAAGTTGTAGTTATAATTGTCGCTATTGATTATATGGGTTTCCTCTTTGCCTAGAAACGTCGGTGACTTTTTCTTCTCGGGGCTGTTCGACGTGCTCCTGGACAATCTGAAAGAGTCATTTTACCTTTTTTTTTCCAGCTCTTTCGACACGCCGTGCTTTTTTCATGCAGAAAATGATAACAGTGCTACTAAAAATCCTTCGTAGTGGAAGACAGATATGTTTTACGAAATAATTAAAATTCAATGAAAAGTTTTCCGTTTCTGTCTTACACCCGAAAGCAATTCTACTTTTAAGACTTGTTCTCGAAAGGGCAGAAAGAAACGTAAACTAATAAAAACAAATTTATTACTCTTACGTCATAAACAATAATAAACAAAAAAGTAGCGTATATAGAGATAACGATTATATAGTGCGTACTTAGTATAACAGTTGGCCTTAAGATTAATTAAAAAAAAATATACAACAATGGAATCTCCCATATGAACACATTCACAGAATGATTGCACATGCAGGACAAATATTTAAATCTACTCAGGCTTCTTTGGCAATCTCGTTCCGGCATAACCTAATTATCGTTCCCCTAGGTTCACACTCACCTGCTCGCAGGCGTGGAATCTGGTGTTCTGGGGGCCGTGGGGGTGTTTATCATCTCCTCTGTGCCCCTGGGGTTATTTAAGTTGTTTGTGTCGCACACGTCCTCATCGAAAAATCTATAAGGGCGATATTCGATTATTACACTTGATGTCGTTAAATACAGGGTGTTAAGATACAGACACCAGAATGACTGTGTTTGGTATCAGTCACGATTTTTATTTCGCCTTTTTGCCGCAACTGAGGCTTTTGATAATTTCAAGACTTTACAAAAATAGAATGTTTTCACGCAAACAATAAAGTTACAGATCGGCCAAAAACATCTACAGTAACCAAAACAAGGAACTTGGAATTTGTCCAAAATACGCCACAAGACAAAGAGTGAAAATATTCGACACGCATTCAAATCTAGCGAAAAACGACAAAATTTGGCACCGGTGGTATTACTCGGATTTGAGAAGATAAAGCGGTGAAAATAATCATAGCAAGATTAAAACAATTTAATAATTATAAATAAATATAATTTTAAAAAAAAAACAAGTTATAACAAACTGGCAGAGAGCGATCTGCTATTTCATAGGTATTACGAGAGCAAGATTTATGTCACTGCTATGGTCCAGGAAAATAAGGAAAAAAACGAGCGAACTTTTTTTTACTGAGATTTTTTTATAGAAAAGTGTAGGTTTTGAGATATAAATGATTTTTCGTGTTTTTTTTTTTTTGGCCAAAAACTGCCAATACTCACAAGATACAGTTTTTGGAAAAACAGTTTCAAATAAAAGTTGTTCAATTAACCTTCCTACAAAATTCCTCCTATGAAAAATTTCGATTTTCTCAATAATTTTCCCGTATATTTTTTAAATGAAGTACAGATTATATGAAAATGTATGTTTTGTAGCCAAAAAAATTGCGAAAAATTTTATGGCGCCAACAAAATTAAGTTTATTGTAAAAAAGAAGGTGTCAATCATAGCGGACTATTTTCTATAAGTACAGTTTTCCGGGTTTGAATATTTATAAGCATCAAACGTATCATTTTATAGCTTTTCGAGGATGTTCATTACGAATTAATTATGTGTTTCAATATTGTCTATAAAAATCTGTTTAAAATTTTTTTGCGAAAGCATTAAAGCAGTTGTATATAAGAAACCCAGAAGATTGTTAAATATAATAAACAGAAAAAGTTGTTTTTTTTCAATTATAAATAAATTATACTGATATAATTTTTTTTATTATACCTTTGCGCTCCAAAAAAAATCCTTTCCTATTTTCATCAAATTTAAATTTTCAATTTCGTTATATTACAAATTCCAAAGAAAATAGATTTTTCTGGAAAATATTAAAAAGCGCATAATTAATTCGTAATGAACACCCCCGAAAACCTATAAAATGATAGGTTTGATGCTAATAAATATTCAAACCTTGGAAAACTATTAAGATTTTCCAAGAATTTTCTGCAATTTTTTATTCACTTTTGTTATTTTGACCATTATTTTGGCTCCAAAACAATTTATGGGAAAATTATTGAAAAAATTGAAATTTTCATAGAAGCAATTTTGTAGGAAATTTAATTTTGAACAACTTTCATTTGAAACATTTTTCGAAAAAATGCATATTCATTGAGATATTGGCAGTTTTTAGTCAAAAAAACCAAAAATCATGTTTCCTGAAAACAAGATTATTTTTTCATATCAACATGGGTCCGATTTCGCTTCGTTCCTTAGCTACAGGGTGTCAAAGTTTTAAAGTTTTTTTCAAAAATCTAGATTTCTACTTGGAGGAAATTAAATGAAATTTGGACAACTAACTATTTACAACTGAATACACATTCCTAGGTCAAGACCTTATTTGGACGTAAAATTTCCTGCTCTTTCCAATTCCGCACTAAAAAATAGGGGTTCCCAATTGAAAAATTAATTTTGACCTTGAAGCTCAAGGTCAAGGCACTCCTGACGAGTTATTCAGGGGTTTCCACACTTTTTTACTTACCTAAAATGGAAGCCGTCTTCCTCTAGGGAGTTGTCGCTGTCATCGGCAGCTATGTACTGCACCTGCAACGTACAGTCGCCGGTCTGCTGCTGCAGGATGCCCACAGCTTCTCTGTGGCAGGCGTTTCTGAGATCGATCTCGTTGACGAACANTATAATTTTAAAAAAAAAACAAGTTATAACAAACTGGCAGAGAGCAATCTGCTATTTCATAGGTATTACGAGAGCAAGATTTATGTCACCACTATAGTCAAGCAAAATAAGGAAAAAAATTTGCGAATTTTTTTTATTGAGATTTTTTTATAGAAAATTGTAGGTTTTGAGGTTAGAAAACGTATGTTACACATGCAAACACCAGCAACATATAACGTTTTGAGATATAGATGATTTTTCGTGTTTTTTTGGCCAAAAACTGCCAATATCTCAAGATACATTTTTTGGAAAAACAGTTTCAAATAAAAGTTGTTCAATTAAATTTCCTATAAAATTCCTCTTATGAAAAATTTCGATTTTCTCAATAATTTTCCTGTATATTTTTAGATTATATGAATATTTATGTTTTGGTCAATTCATTTTTAAATAACAAAAGTGAATTAGAGGAAAAAATTTGTCCGACAAAATTAAGTTTATTGTAAAAATGAAAGTGTCAATCGTAACGGACTATTTTCTATAAGTACAGTTTTCCGGGTTTGAATATTTATGAGCATCATATGTTTCATTTTATAGCTTTTCGACGGTGTTCATTACAAATTAACTATGTACTTTTCAATATTGTCCAGAAAAATCTGTTTGAATTTTTTTTGTGAAACAATAAAGCATTTGTACATAAGAAACCTAGATATAGAAGCCAATAAATAAACAAAATTATACTGATATAATTTTTTTTATTATACCTTTGCAGCTCCAAAAAATTCCTTTCCTATTGTCATCATATTTAGATTTTCAATTTCATTATACATATTACAAATTTCAAAGAAAATAGATTTTTCTGGTAAGTATTAAAAAGCGCATAATTAGTTCGTAATGAACACCCCCGAAAACCTATAAAATGATACGTTTGATGCTCATAAATATTCAAACCTTGGAAAACTATTCCATTGGACTATTGGAAAGATTTTCCAAGAATTCTCCGCACATTTTTTTTTCTCTAATTCACTTTTGTTATTTAAAAATGAACTGACAATTATTTTGGCTTCAAAACAATTTTCACATAATCTGTACTTCATTTATGGGAAAATTATCGGGAAAATCAAAATTTTTCATTGAAGCTATTTTGTAGGAAATTTAATTTTCAACAACTTTTATTTGAAACTTTTTTTGAAAAATGCATATTCATTGAAATATTGGCAGTTTTTGTCAAAAACGCGAAAAATCATGTATACAGGGTGTTTCAGAAAACATGGGCCAACATTCAGATTCAGATTCCTAACCTAAAAACAAGATTATTTTTATTTTTTCAAATCAACATGGGTCCGATTTCCCTTCGTTCTTTAGCTACAGGGTGTCAAAGTTTTAAAGTTTTTAAAAAAAAATCTGGATTTCCACTTGAGGGTATTAAATGAAATTTGGACAATTAACTATTTACAACCGAATACACATTCCTAGGTATTATTTCGTTCAACATGAATTACAGGACCGGGCTTAATTGCAAGCCCTCACTTTAATCAAATAAAATATTGGTTCTTCATTGGGATTTCTAATTAAAATGTGCTCGGAAATTAAAATTTTGGGACACTAGCAACATTTCCTATAAAATCTTTACAATTCATAATTCTAGATAAATAAATAATTGTTTGTTTATATTGCATTTAAAATACTGAAAAATCGAGGGAAAACGAAACATTTTTAAATGTCAATTTTTAATCAAAACTGAGCTAGAATTTAACCAATGTAATTATAAATTGTAAATCTGAACGAAGAACCAATTTTTTCTTTGATTAAATTCAAGGGCTTGCAATTAAGTCCGGTCCTGTAATTCATGTTCAACATAATAAAACCTAGGAATGCGTATTTGGTTGTAAATAGTAAGTTGCCTAAATTTCGTTTAATTCACACAAGTGGAAATCTAGATTTTTGGAAAAAACATATTTTATTTTAAAACTTTGACATCTTGTAGCTAACAAACGAAGTGAAATCGGACCCATGTCGATATGAAAAAATAATCTTGCCTTTAGATTAGGAATTGGCTCCCGAACGTTGGCCCATGTTTTCTGAAACACCCTGTATATACAAGGTGTCACGTTTAAATATGACACAAGCCTGTAACTTCTTAATTTTTTGGCCGATTTCAAAATTTTTTATTTTGGAATGTAAAAAGCTGCCCTCCGTTAACGGATTGTATTCACATATCGAAATACCGAAGTCAGAATTTTATAAGTAGTGACATCTATTAAAGAAAAGGCAAACGACGAAAACAAAGATGACCACCGGTCGCTGAACTACAAGTGGAAGTGGATCTTATTTGTGGAAGGGTAAAACGGGCGGTGACTATGAAACGTCTGCATTATAGACATCCTTCTCTATCGCACAAATTTCTATGACTTACTTTATCGCTCTCACGTAACGGCCGATGAACCATGGGGACTTTCCGAACCTGTATATTTACTTACCTAAAATGGAAGCCGTCTTCCTCTAGGGAGTTGTCGCTGTCATCGGCAGCAATGTACTGCACCTGCAACGTACAGTCGCCGGTCTGCTGCTGCAGGATGCCCACAGCTTCTCTGTGGCAGGCGTTTCTGAGATCGATCTCGTTGACGAACAATATGGCATCTCCTATGTACAGCTGTTCCGACAAAGCAGCTGGACCGTTGGGCTCCAGTTCCGATATTAAGATCGGCACGCCGTGTTCTCTGCCGCCCTGAAATTCATTTTTTATCAGTCGTACTAAAGTCAAGGATTTTATTTTAACTTACCGTAATACTGATTCCCAAACCTTGGTCAGGTTTCCTCTTTACTATCACAGTCCTAATGTCGCCGAAGTGCTCAGTCCCATCGGTGACAGTCTCGGGTTCGGGTTTCGGACATTTCTCGGAACTGTTCAACGAGCTGTTCCTCCTGCAGGCCCTTACTACTGTTTTGTGCCTCTGGAGTAATATCTCAGACTCCAGTTGCCTCCAGAGCTTGTCACGGATGTCGCCTCGCATTTCCCTACCTGATAAAACCTTTAAAATTCAGTACGAAACTACCGATAAAGAAATACCTAGAAGTTGTAGCTGCTGTATCCTTCCCGCTAGCTCTTTGTCCAAATACTTGGCGGCTAACTTCGCCCCGTACACTTCACTGGTGAGGGCGAGAACTTCGTTCCTCAACGAGGCATTTTCTGAGCGTAACTGCGATGTCTCAGCTTTGTACTGGGCGGGCTCTATAGCTGCGGGGCTGAATTTAAGCTCTTCGGATTCTTTTTTAACTGCAACAAAGCATGACTCAGGTATTAGAGGGCTCACTTCTGTCCCTTGAAGAACGTTTCCAGCCGAACAAGACTCACCTATCCTAATGGGGCTTTGCCTAATTTCGGCTTCTAGTTTTTTCTTAATGGCACTCACATCGGGTTTGAGGTGTTGATCCTGTCTCTTGCTTCCGAGGCTGTCGGGCAGTTTGGATAGCTGGGAGGAATGCAGCTGAAGAAGCAAATTGTGAAGTTCGCTTTCGAGGACGTCCTTCTTCGATTTCGATTCTATCAGCTCGGCGCGCATGTGTATTAACTCTGCCTGCAAAAAAAAATGTATGAAATAATCGCACAAGGTGTAATTGTGTTTCTACAGAAATGTGGTCTATTTTGAACGTTTATAATTCTGTAAAAAAAAAGTTAAATAGAATAGACCTAAACTCCACCCCTTAGACGGGGGTAGCAATTTAAAGTGACAAATTTTATAGTATGAGTATTTAGGTGTACACACATGAGTAAATAGATAAGAGGATTCACTGGATAGGGCGGACGGAGCATGCATTCGCTGAGGCCATCTCGTGTTGGTGTGGCAAAACATTGTCCTTTATAGAAATTGTTAAACAGCAATCTGCAACCAGAGATTGAATCTGTATTGCCAATCTTTTAATTTTTAATCAATAGAAATAGAAAATAGAAAGTTTCAGATTATAGTATTTAGTCTATGTTCAAGTATCAGGCGGGTTGTTGAGTTTTGTGCATTAATAAATTTGTTTCATTTTAGATTAACGTAATAATAATATTTAAATGTTTTGGAATTCTTAACAGAATGAATTTATATATTTGTCACACATTTAAATCACTGCTTTAACTTTTTCATTTAGCCAAGTAATAATTAATGTGTTTCACAAGTAATGGGTCATAAAACAGCTGTTAATGGTTCACCTTAATGTTAATTATCAACTTAAACTATTAGCAACTGTTTTGTGTTTTATTATGAAATATTTTTTATTCTTAGTGTATTTTGTTAGATTTAATTTTACCGCGATTATGGTTCAGAGACATCTATTAGACAGTAGAATTAAAGGTTACTCTAATTGTGTTTTCCCATACAGTTTCCTTAATTACCTATTCTGTGGTCTGCGGTTTCCGAGTGTGTCGTTTGCCACACCAGCTACAGATGGCATACTCTGTCGCTGCTGTCGACAGAAGACAATAAAATCCTCTCATTTATTTACTCATATGGGTATATGTACTGAATCGAAGGTAATCCTCCTTTCATAAATCGTTTGTACTAAAATTTGGTACACATAGTTTGCAAAGTAATGTGATTAACTTGGAAACTAGCAAAACGGAATATGCTCCCAAACAAATGACAAGACAATAGGACCTTCCAGCTTACCCAAATAAATAATTTTTATTATTATCACAAGCGCTTTTATAGACATTTTTAAAAACTGGTAAGTTACGGATTATAATTCATAATACGACCAGAATAATAATGCAAGCACAACCAGATAGTGCAGTTGCAGATTTCTCAAACTTTTTTTTTTGGTAAAAAACGTCAATATTGTTCTTTTCTTTCTTTTATATGTTACATCGGTCACGTGTCGACTATTTTTGATGAGTTGTTCTGAATGAACCTATTTTAGACATTTTTTGGAAGTGGTTGGACATATTTGGTCGCAATTTGAAATCAGTGCAACAAAAGACGCATATATTCGGAGTCAAATTTAGACAGTTATTCTGCAGGAAATTAATTTAAACAAAACATATCCTAAAGGGAACTGGAAAAGCCTACATTATGGACACAGACATTTGGAGAATACTTTCTTCTCAAACCAAATCCGAGACTACATCGATTTACTTAGGAAAATGCCAGTGGCGTTTTTCGGGAAACACCGCTACAAAAACTGCCTACGTTCAAGACGGTGCACATTATCGAAGCCGGCCGCAATGGTTCCCAGAGGGGACCACTTGAATTCGAGCGCAAAAAAATCGCAGACACTCAATAAAACGTGATGCAAAACAGATCGCGGGTTTTAAAAAAAGCTCTTGACCGTGTCTGGTCCATTTTCAAGGTCCCCGAGTGTGCAATTTGTTTATGGTTGATTAATTATTTGGGATAATAGAATACCATCTTGGTCACAAACAATGCCTCGATTTGCGGAAGTAATTTTTGGAAAAAGATCTAGTGAGACTGTCGCGATAGTAAAGTGTTATTCACTGTCACTGGAAGTGATCGAAAGGTACCGTTTTTCTTATGATTTTTTCAAAATCTCTAGATAGATCAAGTACCGTAACCAACTGCTTTTGTTTGTCCCAAAATGGCGCTTTGACATAAGTCAATTTGTACTATTTACGTCAAAGTACTATCAAAATTAATTGTTGCAATATATCTATATATCAAAATATTAGGTTCAAAATATTGAAAATCCAAGTATATTTCGAGGATGACATTGGGGATTTTGTCTCCAAATGGCAGTTGATTGCGGTACTTTATCAAAATCTAATGACTAGTTTTCTGATTATAAAGTCTCCAGAATGACAGTTTATCAATTGTTGTGGCAACACTTTTGTTTCCAGTGGTACACGAATGATGTATCATCTAAAAGAATCGGCGCTTTTGATCGCTATGCATGGGAATAAAAATTGCTTGATACGTGCAGTTCTTTTTTATTGTCGATTTAAAAGGAAATGTATTAATTTAGGTGATAACATGTAAAACATTAGTAGCAATGGTGGTAAAGTTTCAGTGTTCAGGGTACTTAAATTAAAATTAAATAAGTTGCAGAACAAATTCGTTTTAATATTTTTATCTGGTGGCATATACAATACAGAAACAATTCTAATACCTTTTACTTGTCTGAATACCAAATAAGAGGGATTTTTATATTATGAGAAAATGGTGTTTTAAGTAGCCAAAATTAAAATGTTTCGAAAAATATGTGCATTTTTGAGCTAAATCCTAATAAGTGTAGCAGTGTTTAGTTTTAGAGATACAGGCTGTTCATGTTGAAATCCCTGAAAACGGAGCGGGTAGGCTTGGATATAATTTTGCTCCAACCTACTCGATGTGAAGTTTAATTAACAATAACACAAGAATTTTTACAAAAAATTAATTTTTATTCCAAATTTCGGTCATAAGAAAAAATTATTTTAATTACTAAGAAAAATGGGGCAAAATTTATTTAATTATTAAGCTCACCATTTTGTCTTGGAAATATTCGGAAAACAGAACTTCCATTACATTTTTTATTATGTCAATTCTTGTCTTCTGCAGACCCTAGTTAATTCTAGAGGGGGTGTTATAAGCTAGCTGATTGGTAGAATTAAGTGTAACGGGTTACAGTCGAAGTTCTGTGAACGAAGCATTAGCCCGCATTAGCTCTATCTCTCTCACACACGTCTGTGCGATTTGCGATTGTCGTTTATATTGGCAAAATGGCAATCGGGCAGTCCAGTAGTTTATAAGGTCTATGGTACAGAGACGCTGCTTCCACACTTTAGAAATATTGATTGTTGTTTGACAATATATAAACAATTCGATCGATACCAACGACACTATTTTCAAATTATTTAAGAAACTTAATTAATGCAAATTAGGTTATGTTATGTAATTCGGATCACAAATGACCATTATGGGTACAGCTCTACTTATCAGACAATAATTGACAATGAATTTTTACTGAAGTTTCACAAAGTAAAGTTCTTAAGTTTTACAACTAACTGTGAGCTGTGAGGTAACTTCGATGCGATAACGTCGAATTTTGATTACCCGAGACACGGTTGAAGGCTATAATTTCTAATTACGTGTCATTAACACACACCATAACTCCTCTAATAAATCCTTAATTAAATGATTTTCTGCAAGATCCAAGTTATTTAAACATAATTCTCACAATAATTGACTGATCGTTTGGAATTTGGTAGATCTTAAGGCAACAAATAATATAATTGAAACAGAAAAATATAAGAAAATCAGCTCAAGCTGTAATATGGATGTATTTATATGAAGGAGCAGAATAAGTCCTGAAAAACGTCGAGGCGAAATACACCTTAGTCCAAAGTTGCTTCATTTGTGCGATACAGGGTGTTAACCGAAATATCTTGCCAGTGATTGATTTATAGATCAAATATTCCTACATTCCGAATAGTATAGGTATAGGTAAACCTTCCGTAACTGTAATAATGCCGGTTTTAGCATCTATTTAAACTCTCGTGGAAAATGGAGAGCAAAAACTTGACGCCATGGTGATTGACAGGTCGTATACTTTATGTGCATGTGACTCACGCAAAAGACTAATATTGGGACTATATCTGGCTATGATAAGGGATGCACGGGTAAACTTTACAACAATTCATAGCAACGCATTCGTGTTTGGTTTGTAACTAGAAAGCAAATAGCCGCCAGATAAGAGCGATGGTATGGGTTAAATAATAATAGTTTCCAGATCCATCTCCGATGGTGTAGGCATGGGCGTAGCTAGGAGGGAGCAAGGATGTGCTCCACTCCAGAAAAAAAAAGATCTATTATCGTCTATCATATCGGCATATCGGTAAGTCGCTGACTGTGTGATCTTTTTTATTTAGAATAAAATCAAAACGTTTCAGATTTTTAAAATTTTATTCGGCAAGTATGTGAAGATTGCGAGTGCTTTTTTTTTAGAGGCTCCATAGAGTTTGCAGCCTTGGGCTGGGCCTAGGCAAAAATTCTAGCTACGCCCATGGGTGTAGGGATATTGGAACGTGGTGTTAAAGAATTTATAAGTATATGTCGTGGAAAAGTTCTTAATAAACTTTTTCCTTAAGAAATAATGAAGAAAATTAATAAAAGTTGAAGAGAAAAAGGGTACAAATGAGACACTACTGCATTTAAAAATCAGAAAAAATGTGGTTCGAAATTCGTAGAATTGATCGGAAAACTTATATTTTGCACACTGTCAAATATTTTGGTTCTAGCTATTGCCATCTCAAAATTATTACAAATTTTAACAGAACACCTTTTTTCTAAAATTTAATGATTGTTCTAAATAATTTGGCAACGCTACTACTGAATGTGCAATTATTTACACCATCATATGCGCAATTTTACAAAACACATGGCTATTTTACACCAAAAAAGAACAACAATAGAGCTACTGTGCTTATACAGAATTTTATGCCCGAGAGAATACGGTGATCATTTTGAACAATTTCTACAACTCATCAGTACAAATTGAATGTTATTTCTGCTGTTCCGTTCGTTTTTCTATTAAATTATTCATACTGCAAATTTTTTTTCAAGTTTGACCTTTAAATTCATTGCCAACTTTTAAATTTTCGATGATTTTAAATAACAACTACAAAACATATTATTAGTTATTCGTGTTTTTGTTGAAAACGACAAAGTTTTCTGAAAACTCCTAGCAAGAATAGGAAAAGTTTTATAGTGGTTTGGTCTTCAAGTGAGGAGAAAAACTCTAAATAGCATGGAAAACTTTATTCTACTAATTTCGCTGGTAACACGTGACACAACCGAGCAGAAACTATGTCTCAAGACTTCTTGTTCGTGCCTCGAAATGTTTTCGATTTTATCCTTGTCCCCAGGTACCTACTCTTATTATCCTATCCTAATTAACACTTATCCGGGTCATTACCTACTCGGTTTGTGCTTATGTACCCTAATAAACAACAACTAATTTATGTTTACAGCCTGCTTATTCTAATCTCATTTGCTAAATACATTTATTTGGAATAATCTCGGATAATTCAAAGTACAATTTATATGGATCGTAAATTCCCAGAAAGCAAAATATATTTATTGGGGCAGGTACTAAATGTAATTGTAGCGTACCGCTACAGTTTTAGAATTAAATTTCTCATAAAATAAAGTAATAATTTTTAACTTCGCCAACGGGTTAAAACACGTTTTAATGGTGCATCATCCCTTATCAACCCTTTAAAATGCTTCAATTAAATTCTTCTTACTGTGGATGCTCTTGGTACACTCACACCGTTTACTGGTTGGTTTTTCTACGTTCAAGTATAACTGAGATTTTGATTAGTAGAATACGGAATGACAATACCAATATTTGCCTGTCAAGGCACATTTGAAGATATTTTAACGATTGAAAATGTAAGTAAACCGCAAATATTTGAGAAAATTGAAACTGGAACTCCTACAATGCTTAATCGGTGAAAAAATACAGGGTGTTCCATTTGAATTTAAAAAGTTTTGACGGTTTTAAGTTTTCAAAATGTAACGTGAAAAATGAGACACTTAGTATAATTTTCTTCAGGTAATTTTGATAGCGGAAGGTAGTGCATCTTATGTTCTTTGTGTATTCCTAAAAGCAAGTGAAAGCTCCCAGAACGAAGAATAATAAAAAGCATTGTTATTAGGCCAGTTATAGCTTCAATATGTTTATACTCTGTTTGGAAATGAAAGAGAGTAATAAAACCCAGACATAAGAACCGGCCATGGGCGTGCTAATATTTCGTTTCAGGTAATTATCGGGTAACACTAATGCTAACAGGAATGACAGGGATTGGAAAATCGACTATCTACAGACTTTTAAAGGAAACAAAAAATGAACAAGATACTGTAAATCCCCCAAAATCATCTACAGGGAGGTCAAAAGTCGTTATAGATGATTTCTTCAAAAATGTCATTCGCAGAAAAGTACACTCATTTTATTTTAAAAAAGAAATACCAACGCTAAACAAAATTTTAAGTGAACTTTCAGAGGACAACGATTTGCCAAAAATCAGTAGAAGCAAATTATGGGCCGTCTTACGAGAGTTGAATTTTTGCTGGGAAAAGCAGAACAGGAAGTCAGTTCTTATCGATAAAGATGAAATTATTTGTTGGCGAAGATCCTACTTAAGATCAATTAGAAAATTCCGTGACGAAGGGAGGAATATTTATTATCTAGACGAAACTTGGGTCAACGAGGGATATACTGTAACAAAAGTATGGCAAGATAAAAATGTAAAAAGTTTTCGACAAGCATTTTTGGATGGACTTTCAACAGGGTTCAAGGCACCTTCAGGTAAAGGGCGAAGATTAATAGTGACACATATAGGTAGTGCCAGTGGTTTTGTAGATGGCGGTTTACTTTTATTTGAATCTAAAAATACAGGTGACTATCACGAAGACATGAACGCAGATGTTTTCGAAGAGTATTTTACACAGATGTTGGATCTTATTCCTCCGGGGTCTGTAATTGTCATGGATAATGCCAGTTACCATTCACGGCAGACCGAGCGGACGCCTACGACTGCTTGGAGGAAAGCCGATATAATTCAATGGTTATCCGGAAAAAACATTTCTTTTGAAACAAATATGGTGAAAAAGGAACTTTTGACACTTGTCAATCTTAATAAAGATCAGAAAAAATATGTTATCGATGAAATGGCAACAAATCGCCAAATAACGGTACTACGGTTACCACCTTATCACTGTGAACTTAACCCAATCGAATTAGTCTGGGCGCAGGTAAAAGGAGATGTAGCGCGAAATAATACGACGTTTAAATTAAGTGACGTGAAAATTTTGTTAAAAAATTCCTTGGAACGAGTAACTGCAGATAACTGGCAAAGATGTATACATCATGTACAAAAAGAAGAGGAGAAAATGTGGGAACTCGATAATTTAATTGACGTTACTGTGGAACCTATCGTTATCAATCTAGGAGACGAAGATAATTCATCAGAATATTCAGAGGATGAATTTTAATATACCTACTTTTTTATTTTCTTTATTGTACATTTATACAACACTACATTTACTCACCATAATTTGAATTTTCAAAATACATATATTTTTGTGTGGAATAAAAGTCTATTCATTAAATTTAAATAAATATTTTGATAATAATATTGAATAATTTTATTTGAATTACTAAAAACCCTCTTAACCCGGTTATGATGCTTAAAGTAGCCTCATGTTTTGAAATGCTGTTTTTATATTGTTTACTTATAAGAGAAATGGACCGAGAAATTGAAGCGGCATAGACAAAGACGGATTGTCGGGGATTAAATTTTAGCTACCAGCTACAATTTAGTACAGTCCGATCGCACAAAGTTTTGTTAAAAGTAGACCTCATCTATACGGAAAATACATAATATAAAAATATTCAATATAAGCACCAGTACTACATTTATTTACGATTTGCATACATAATGAGCTTTTATTACTCTCTTTCATTTCTAAACAGACTATAGTTGCAAATTCGAACCCTTGTCCGTAACAGACCCACCGTCCGGTCTAGCAGGCGGTGGAACAAACGCGCGTCGACCTTCCAGGGGCACCGCTGGCGCGTAAGCGACGTCCGCGATCCCACAATTTGTGGCGGATTAGACCGGGTGCACCGCCAAGATGGATAAAGGGGGCATCCTGCGAGCGCCGACGGCCAAAGTGCCCCAGCACGGCCGCTAGCCTACCGCAACCGACAATCGACAGACGCGTCTCGAAGTGTCCGGCCCTCCAGATCACGCGGTGCCATGAAGAGGAAGAAGTCGCCGCCGCCTACCACCGTTCTGTGCGTGAGCGTCGCCCTCGTGTTGTACGCCTGTGGACGGGCGTCGGGGTCGCCCGCCCAACACGCCGCGGTGGGCAAGTTCCAGGAGGTTGTTCAGCAACAGGTGAGCGTTTTTTGCTGTGGTCTGTCGCGCGTCTCGTTTCGCGATCGGCTGATCGGTCGTAACTTTGATTTTCAGCCGGGTGCGACGGAAACTATTATTTACCTGCCAAGATCGGAAAGTGGTACTTTATAGGGCGAGCATGCAGGTTTTAGGGCGATGTCAAAGGCGGAGCCATGAAAAATCTGTAAATACACTTTCAAGTACAATATTTTTTGTGTTGCCGTCAATAATTTCACAATAGTAGAACTACAACAGAAAATTTATATCAAAAATACAACTTAACTTATTAATATTTATGTTGAAAGTGCAATTATGCAAAGTACAATCATTAAATGTTGATGTTCCGGTCAATTTAAATTTACAAGCCATAATATTTGTGTTATTAATAAAATTGGGTTCGTTTCTGTCAGTTTCAAGTCAGTTTTGTTTATTTTCTACATTAATGGTTTTATTTGTTATGTTTACTTTGTTCTGAATAAAATTTTCAATATAATCTGCCACGGTAGAAGATTTCCCTCTCCGCGACAACGTTTCAAACTTGTGAAATCCACCTCCATCAGTAATGTGGCGGAAGTCCTGCGGTAACATTGACCAGTAAATTCTATTGGGTAGGGTAAATTTATAAATGTAGCTATTTTGCAAGGAACACTTCCCATTGAATTCGTTCCAAGAGGTTGAGTTATTGTTTTTAAATAATAAGATTTTTTTTTCTTTTCTTCAAATTTATAATTGCTTTTTCTTAATTTTCCTGGATTCCATTGAAAAAATAAATAAATTATCGCTGGCTTCTTTCCTTCTTTCTTTTTTAATATCGAATGGAATGTTTTCTTCGTCATTTTCATCGCTATTCGTCTTTAAACCACTTAAGGTCGTTTTACACAGTCAAAAAAATTCATGAATTTATTGAAAATATTAACAATGCAATTTCAAGCGAATCAAGACCAATTTAAACTATGTTCAATTATTTTAATGAAAAACGCGGTCGGCATTATATCTACAAATCAAAATGTAACCAGAATTAACTAAAAAATTGTTGAAATATTAGAACCAATGGCCAGGGCTATTAAAATTTTTTCATAAACTTATTGTCATCAATAAATTGACGACAATTTTGTGTATTATAGCTGTTTTACATTGACAATTTATTCATGAATAAATTGACAAAGTTCTTCATGAATTAATTCACGAATTTATTGGTAAACAGTGTGGTTTTACACTGCTACAGACTTTGTCAAGTTTTTTGACATATGAATCAGTTCTACCAATGAATCAAAGAAGCAAATAAATTTCAAAAATGTCACCTTTCCACTCATAATTGTAGTGATACAACAGCGGTACCGTTTTGACACATATTATATAAATATTAGTTTTTGTAAGTAACAAATCAGTAAAAACAATGCAAAACTAGTACGACGCCACACAATTATTTACATATTCCAATAACATAACCTCATTACTGATCTGAGGCTGGAAATCTGTTGGGTTGGTACTTCCGAACTTCACGAAGAAATTGACGAAAATTAGAACATGCTCTCTAATTCGTCAAGAACTTGATGAATAAATTCATGAAGTTATTTGACAGCAGATTTGGTGCCTTACACTTGTCCAATTTCTTGATGAAGCGACTTCATGAATAAATTCATCAATAAATTGTCAATATAAAACAGCTATTACACCTAACAAATAATTAAAGGTCAAGAAATTAATCAATTACTTTGACTGTGTAAAAGGGACATTACACACTTTTATTTAAGATATTTATTAACTTGTTAATTTAATTTTTTTAATACAGTTTAAAAAATTCTGTTAAATACATAACATTGATGTTATTATTATATATTTTTTTCCATTAGCACAACGTGAATTTTTACTTAAAATCTGACTACGTCCCTGGATTGTAGTTTTTTCTTTCGTTTTTTTTTTTTGAAAAATACAACTTAAAAAATTGTATTACATGCATAAATTACATAACTTTTTTTGGGGTTTTCAAAGCCTACATTTTATTTTCTTTTTGATGTAAAATTTAACAAAAATTGGTAATTTTTTTTTTAAATGTGACTACGTCACTGGATACTGGTTTGTGTTTCGCGAAAAAATATTCAATGCTCATTGTAAAATTAATATTAAAGGTTAAGAACTAAAAAACTGATATTTTTCGATCTCTTTTTAAAAATGACTATTATTTATTTAAAAATAAAAGAAAGGTATTAAATTTTAACCAATATCCATATTTTTTGAAAAATGTGTCTTTTATGACTAGCAGTTGTAGAATATGTTAATTTTACCGTAACAAGAGCTAAATAACTAGCTAAAATTAAAAAATTAAATATGGCCAAAAATTTTACGAACATTTACGATTTTTGGGGACCGAAACCATTTTTTTTTTGTACAAATTCCGTTAAATTTGACTAAAACTTAAACACAACCCATTAACAATTCCTTCCAACCGTATTTCCTGCCTCTCATGTTCCTTAAATTATAAACCAATAAATAATTTTTCCATACCCATAAAAACCGACCTTGTTTCTTGTATTTTTGCCAGTTACGTCATTGAAAATTAAAAAAAAAAAATGATAATCGTGGTTCGCCTCGCGAGTGCAGGTACCTTTTTTGCCGGATATCTCGATCGGCAGTCCGTGGCATGATTACGCATTATAGGTCGTTCATGATTTATTGGTTTGTGTCTCGTGTCTGTATTATGCGCGATATACGCGATATAGATATAATCTAAGGTTCAATACACTGCGACTGAGAATAAATAAAAAAGTTACTGTACTCCTTCAAACCAAAACACAAAATTATTAAATTTACACATCTCCTTTACTATGATCAGTGCGTCTATTCAATTTCTTCGAGTTTCGAAAGAAAAACAGTTTCCTAATACCGCATAAGCTACTTATAGCGCCTTTTTCGATCTGACGACAGAATTTTGTTCTGAATAAAAACTGCCAGATAAATACTAATTTATATCTTTGAAGTTCTTGGTATTAACTTGAGAATTATCTCTTTAAATTCCTTCCCAAAATAAATATTTGTCCATCACATACAAACCGTAGGCTCTGGCTTTCCTTCATAAATTATTATTATGGGCACTTTATTCACCATGGCTGCGTTGAATATGACAATTTACTACGCGTGTGTAAAAATATAAACGTAAATCTACAGAGTGTCTCCGCTAATCAGAGACGCAAACTGAATAAACAGCGTGATATGAGATATGGGAAACACGTGGCTGCAGGTACTTTTTTCGCATTCAAGAAAAATACGGTCTATTTTCAGAAATAAAACATTCCTGAACTCAGCAGAACCCGTTATCGTGCTCGTGCATTTTTAATTAAATTTAGATAACGAGGTCTTCACTTGAAATGTACAGTGCTAAAAATGCAGGAATATATTAGGGAAAACAAGGCGCTCAAAGCAAAACACGGAGTTTATCTCACAAAATTAGTAGAAGTAAGCATTGATAAAATTGTTGGAAAATTACATGTCTAAACGTAAACGCAGTGTATAATCCATTCGAGATAAAGCAAATGATTGCTTTTATACAGGGCGTCGCTGAAATGCTTAGATTTAATGACGGATTCCACGTTTCAAATTAATGAAAAGAACATTTGTTGTTTCGCCTTCATTTTAACTGTAAAATTATGTTTTTTTTTCCAGTACCACCTATTGACGCGAGTGCTTCTCCCACATAGTCACCTTAATAGCCCGTAATATGTTTAGGGCCCCACAAATCATCTTTCTCTTTGTGTCGCGCCTGCCGACGCCCGACAGCGACAATAAATCGCATTTTACGAGAGGCAGGTGAGAAAGCGCGCTATTCGTAATCGAATCCGAACATTATTATAACATAACACAACTCTACCCAGATAATTTTGTAATGTGTGTAGCGAGATTGATAAGCGTGCGTTTAGGTGTACTGTAACTTCGCGTTATTGTCATTGAATCAATATATCGCCCTGTCTTGAAACACAGTAGAACAATTGCAACAAAAATCCGAATAAGGATGACTATATTAAAAACATCAACGAAGTTTTTGTAACACCTAACTATTTTGCAATGTCCCAACAAAAATTATTTATAGCACTGTCACAATTCCGTATATTTGTACCATTTTTTTTACATGTTACATAAAATTGGTCAGTTTATTGGTCAAATTTAAGGCTACCAACTTTTAGAATTAAAATCAATCATGAAAAGGTAACAGCAAACTACAAAATACAAATCCTAACAGACTTCTTACGTCAAACTTACGTAACTGCAATAACTTATGTATATATGTAAGTAACCTATTCTTTGAATGACCACAAATTATGTATTAACGCTAAAATTGGTAAATATAAAACAAGTTTTACATATACCAATATAACGGCCAATTTATTGATCAGACTTGGTTGAAAGATTGGTAAAGCTAAACCAGGTCATCTAGTAAACATACGTAGTCCCAGATCTTATGCAACTTTTGACAATACGTTTTCTTATAGCCTTTTTACATGGACAATTTATTCATGAATAAATTCACGAAGTTCTTCATGAATTAATTCACGAATTTATTTGTAAACGGTTTGGTTTTACACTGCTACAGACTTCGTGAATTTCTTTGACACATGAGTCAGCTCTACCAACAAATCAAAGCAAATAAATTTCAAAAATGCCACCTTTTCACTCATAATTGTAGCGATACCGATAACATCGGTACTGTTTTGACACTTATTACATAAACATTAGTTTTTGTAAGTAACAAATCAGTAAAAACAATACAAAACTAGTACGAAGCCACACAGTTATTTACATATTCCAATAACATAACCCCATTACTGATCTGAGGCTGGATATCTGTTGGGTTGGTACTTCTGAACTTCACGAAGAAATTGACGAAAATTAGAACATGCTCTAATTCGTCAAGAACTTGATGAATAAATTCATGAAGTTATTTGACAGCAGATTTGGTGCATTAAACATGTCCAATTTCTTGATGAAGCGACTTCATGAATTAATTCATCAATAAATTGTCAATGTAAAACAGCTTTTAGCTTCTGAATTATCTAATAGATGGCAGAGACACTCACATCTGAAGTATGACCTTAAATAAGCTGGCGGTTATAAAACACGTATCGTTTCGTTTCTAATTTCACCTCCAACAAACGATTTTCAGGGTTTTATAAATTGTCAAGTCAAAACATATTTGCAAAAATTTTGGGAATCGCAAGAAATTAAAAGTACAGAGAAAGAGTCCTATACTGTTTCAAGCATGGAAATATAAACCTATCCATTTTGCATAAACACTTAATTCTGTCAAATATATAATCTACAAGAATTAATAATCAGATTAGATGACCGTAGACTAAACATTTTTGTACATTACATAAATAACTATTACCCAGATTAATTCAAGTGTAATATACATTTCTTAAAAAAATAAACACTACCAATGAATATAGTTTTATATATCAGTATGATTAAGGTCGCCATCTGTTAGTTCCAGTCAGCACTCAGCAACGCCATCTATTGACTGCAGTTTTGACGGTTGTCAAGTTTTATATATCAACACTATGTATATTATTTACAAAATGACAAGTTTAACAATTTTTTTAGCATTTTTAATAACTAGTAGATCAAAATAGGCAACTAAGTAAATATGCAATATGTATATAAAACAAAATAAAAAGGCAATGAGTTTAATTGTTATCCAAAATATTTGTACCAGCTATAAAACTTAATAACCTTTATCTTTAGTTATTAGCTGTAAATTTCCTGTAATAAATTTACTAGGTTCTGGTTTATTATGAAATCTTACGAAAATATCACTTATGTTTGTTTCCCATATTATCGAGGATATACAGTACGTTACAAAAATTAACTGTAGATTCATTCTAAAAATAATTAAAATTCTCTTATACTATGTTTAGGTACCTTTTTGTTACGATATAGGACACAAAAGGATATATAAATAATAATAATGTAAGACTTTCCCCCTTTTCCTTTGTTTTAACTAAAATTATATAAAAAGTGTGCCGCCATGGGATAAAAGTTCCGTAAACTTTCAATGGGACATCTTAAAATACAAAAAATATTAAAATTTTAAATATGACACCTCTGACAAAATAATGGTCGTCTAAATGAGAAATTATTATTTTTGTCCGAAGAATTTGTGGTTAGCAATTTAGAATAACAAGGTATGTTTTTTTCATTGCAGAATTTTTTCTCGGTGCTGACATCTATAGAAGAACGGCTAAAAAACTTGGATAACATTTATTCAATGCAATTATCTCAAACTCTAGAGACCAAACTGGATCAGTATAGCAGACGATTGGAAGCACTCGATACCAAAATCATACGATTGGAAGCTCTAGTCATGCTCAACTTAGACAAAATCTCCGAAAATATCAGCACGAAAAACTTCAAGGACGACATGAGCAGGAGCAACCTGCTTAGAAAAATGGATTCTGTCTACGAGGGCATTAATCACAGGCTAGGATATATGGACAGAAAGTATGAGACAAATTTAGCAAAGATTCAGGTATCAAATTGACATATTTTTAATTGCTTAGTGAATTTACTCTAGACTTTTAGACAAAAGTGGACACCACCTTATCGCGTCTTGAAAAAATCGAAGAAAATATGACAACCAGAGACTCGGATATCGAAGCAGAAATATCAGACGTGATATTTGCGATAGACGACTTGAAAACAACATGTAACGCAATGGAAGAAAAAATTTACAACGTAACAACTGCTGTGTTGAATGTAACAGACTTGAACATCGTTTATTGATCACTAAATTTTTTACTTTTTAGGTTACTCAAAGTGCTTATAAATATTTGCAAGACAAAAACGTAGACACTAGAAAGGCGATGAATGCCCTACATGACAATATCATAGAAAATCTAAAATTTATGAACAACAAGACGTTGAGACACTTCAAGCTTGTGGAGGATAACAACTTTATGCTCAAGTCCATGAAAACTGAGCTGAAGGAGGATTTTAACGATTACGCTAACAAGGTAAAATATTAAAAAAAAATACTTGTTGGTTAATAGAAATTAATTTTTCAGGTTGCCGACATGAGCTCCTACATTTGGAAGAACACTGATAGCACTGACGACGATTTGAAGAGAATAGAAACATTTGTCAATAATACCAAAACCGAAGTACAAAATGGTGTCAGGTCTCTGATGCTGCAAATAGGCAAAATACCAAATAAGGAAATTGTAACGAGCCCAGGTATGAGTTAAAATCATTTCCACAATTTTCCTATCCCTAACAAAATTTTTTAGGTGACAATTCCTTGGATGAAATAAACAAGAACCTGAAATTAAACTTCCAAAGAATATTGACCAATCAGGACGTATTCCTAGAGAGCTGCCATAGGCTGCAAATGGACGAAGCCCAGATTGAATCCGAAATAAGTGTTACACTGGAGAGCCTTATTGATATGATAGAGAAAAAGTGAGTTTCTAAAATCCGATTATCTGGTAGGCTGCCACAGCCACGTCCCGAGCCTGCCTTATGTCACCCATCCAAGTTCCAGCCTGCGTCCGTGATGCTTACCTCGGCCGATGGAAATTCATCGGCCAAGACACCCGGCTAGGCGGTCCCCCCAATTCCGTCTTATTCTGATCTTAATTTTAGGATGGCCTCCGGGGAAGGCGTTAAAAATTTGGAGAGATCCCTAAAAACTCACGATAACAGAATAATCAGGAACGTCCATCAAGTCAATACCAATTTAATATCACTATTCGAGACGTATACGAAAAGTAATGCGGTGTTATCCACAGAAGTCAAAAAAATTGGTAACGGTTTAGACGACTTGTTCAAATTCGTTCGAGGAACACTATCAGACGAATCTCCATCTTCTCTTTCAACAAACGTCAAAGTAAATCACTATTTTCATTAATTTTTATATTTTATTTGACCTTTTGTGTTTTTGATCTCTTGTAGGTACTTCAAAGGAAGCTCGATAAAATAGAACACACGATCACGACAATTTCCGGAAACCAGTCTCATCCAAGACTACGTGCACTGGATTTAGAGGATAACGTAAAAAAACAAATACTTCAACAGCTGCAGAAATTTTCTGAAAGTCTCTCGTCTATCGAATCTCAAGTACACTTCTTAAAGGAAGAAAACTTTGAAAGGATTCTAGACGACCAAACTTACCAAAAATATTTTCATAACTGCAGTGTACGGAATGTCACAAAGATGAACGCCTACGACGAAACAGAATTGGATAGTGGTACACGACAGGCTATAGAGCAAATTTTTGGAACAAAACTAGATTGGGCGGACGTGGGAAACAAAGATACTGGCAAACGTAAATGTAATACAAATTTACAGTCCGCAGCTTTAGAAGATTGTGTAGATGCACAGGAAAAAAATCGAAACCCGAAGAAAAGTAATAAAAAGAAGAAAAAGGGACCTATTACCAGTCTAATAGACATAAGAGGCAATTTTGGACCCGAACAAAATCTGGAATACGACGATTCCGAAGAAAACTACGAGAGTACAACTATTAATACACAGGAAGTGAGTTTGATAAACAAAACAACAAATACTACTGACGAAGACCTTTCCGGAGTCAAACTGAACGACACGGCGCATAATATTTAAAGTTTTGTACATGTAACATTGTTAAATATTTTTTTACTAACCATTAAATATTTTTAAGAAAACAGTCCTCTTTTCTTTGATACTTTACGGAAATATCAAATGCGAAACTTTAGTTATTACAGATATGACCTTAATAAGCTATAAACTGGGTGTTGTCAGGTTTTCCAAATCCGCAACGAACAGGTGCATTAATTCAGTGGTCGCACGTAAATGTTATGCAATTACTTATAACCCGTAAGGTCATTTTACTACATATTCGTCTTGGACTGACACAAATACGGGATAACTTGTTAACCTTCAAGAATTTAAAAAACAAACTGGCATTGGGTACTTACCTCAATTTTGGCACTATTTTGGAAAATAGTTTGAGCTTTATGGGTGAGTTGGGCGAAACATGAACTCAGGGTGCAAAGCTTTTGCCGAACACTGAAAACTACGTCCGGTTCTTCAGAATCAAGCTCACCTGAAAAAAAGAAAAAAATAAGCTCTGTTTAATGCATTTGTAAAAGTAACATTCTTAAAAATAACTGTTTTACTTCGCTTGAAAAGAACAACGTAACCGGTGTTGCAATGCCAACAAATTCTCAATTATGCAAATATTATTCGAGAATCAACAAATATACAAGGCCTATGGACCGCTTCTACAAGTTATAGGCTGATACTACAGAGAAACTACTTGAAAAAAGTGTGTTCTTTAATTCAATAACTTACCAACTGCTAAATCTAGGTCTACAAACGCTTTATCAAACTCTTTTTCCAAAATATCCAGCCACCTAAACCCGATACTAGCCATTTTTAATTGTCTGTCACCATTTGTCAAGTTTGACAATCCGCGTCTTCGTTGTTTGTCTATCTAGAATCACTGCCCCCTATAGGTAATAAAACTAATTTCAACTTATACAATACAGTTTCCTGTACCATTAAGGAAAAAGATCACTTCCATTAATTATTCATTTATTTTACATATTTAATTTTGTCGTACCTACAACTTGTTTGTTTTGATAACAAAGACTAATTGAATAAAGTAAAACGAATAATAATACTATTTTTGAAAAATATTTTTTTGTTTACATTGGCAACCCTGAATTGTTAAAATTTGCGCTGCGCAGGAGTCAATTTTGGTTTAGAATTGAATGTCAAAATTTATTACTGTTCGTATTCATCATAAAGAAAAGTGTTTTGTGTTTGTGACGCGATTATTCGGTATTAAAAAGTGTTAAAACGTGGTTATTAACATGAATATTACGTCTGCTGGTAAGTGAATTATTCACATTATTAGTTATGTGCTAAAAAACAGGATAAATTTTGAATTTCCACTTATTTTGCACATGCGTTTTGCAAGTCATCTACATGACACTTTCAAAATTGCATTTAAACTTGAGAAAACTAACTCAAAATGTTAATGATATATACATTTAACTAAAAAATATGTATCGCTTTTCTTTCATTGTAGTGCGATATTTTTATTTCTTTCAAAAATAAGTAAATAATTTCTCTTAACCTCACTTTGACCTGTTGTCTAACAAAAACCAATTTCAGCGGGAATAATTTCCCTTTTGGAGGAGCCCAGACCAGAACTTAAAGTATTTGCTTTAAGAAAACTTGACTCCATTGTCGATGAGTTTTGGCCTGAGATTTCTGAAGCTATCGAGAAAATGTAAGATTCCTTTACCATATCGTTTCAACCTTATTTTTGAGTTATGCATGTATTTCAGTGAAATTCTGCATGAAGATAAAGTTTTCCAACAACACCAGTTGGCAGCCTTGGTTGCCAGTAAGGTCTACTATCACTTAGGCTCATTTGAAGACTCCCTGACTTACGCTCTTGGTGCTGGCGACCTTTTTGACGTCAATGCTCGCAGCGAATACGTGGAAACCACCTTGGGTATGTCACACACATATATTTGTACTCTGGCGCTACTGCGTGATTATTTTACAGCTAAATGCATCGATTACTACACCCAGCAACGTATTGCACTAGCGGAAGGTTTACCAGAGGCAAAATCTATCGATTCGAGGCTTGAAGCTATCGTCAACAGGATGTTCCAACGCTGCCTCGATGACGGCCAGTACCGTCAGGCCATGGGGCTTGCTTTGGAAACGAGACGGATGGATATTTTCGAATCCTCTATTACGCAGTCTGATGACATTATCAGCATGCTGTCATATGCATTTCAAGTAAGTGATAGATACATTTTTTATGTAAATTAGGAATGTTTGTCATACATTTCAGGGCTTTGAAACTGTTCAAGTTTTTCTATATTCAAATTTCAGTTTATTATTGTATGAGACAACCTCATATATTAAATTCACCTTGGAATTTTGCATTATAACAGTTTGTTTAGTAGGCATATTTTTCAATTGTTTTAATACATAACCTCACTTTTTAAAATTTTCTCGAGTCGTCACATTTTAAATGTTTTGTACTGTTTTGTGAATGCATGGAGGGCACATTTTTTCAGTTGTTTTAATAGAAAAAAATTCACATTTTAAAATTTTCACTATTCATCACACTTTTTAAATGTTTCGTGCTATTTTGAGAATATATTCTTCACGGTTTAGGTTGCGATGAGTCTCATCCAAAACAGAGCTTTCCGCAACACGGTGCTGCGCTCTCTTGTCGGTTTATATCGCGGTTTGAACACCCCCGACTACATCAACATGTGTCAGTGTCTCATCTTCCTGGAAGATCCCCTTTCCGTGGCTGAAGTTTTGGATAAGCTCGTTCTGGGCAAGGAAGAAAGCGAACTGATGTCGTACCAGATCGCTTTTGACTTGTACGAGTCGGCTACGCAACAGTTTTTGGAGCGGGTCCTAGCCGCGCTTAGGGCCACCGCTCCTATTCCTGCTCTACTAGAGGAGAAGATCAAGCCGAAGATAACGGAGAGTCAGGCCGCTGTGGCTGAGGCTGGGGAGGCAGTAGCTGAAACTTCTAAGCCTGAAGTAAAGGAGGAGAAGTCTCTAGAGAGCTTGGTAAGTGAAATTTAGAAGAAAATTGACGTCGTTATATTTCGTGAACGTGTATTTTTTTTTAGAGTGAAACTGACAGGGAGCATCAAGCTCGAATCGAAAAACTTCACACCATCCTCTCGGGGGAGGTTTCCATCGAGCTCCACTTGCAGTTCCTCATAAGATCGAACCACGCCGACTTGCTAATTTTGAAACAGACCAAAGAGACTGTCCGAGTCAGTATTTGCCACACGGCGACGGTTATCGCCAACGCTTTTATGCACAGCGGAACGACCAGCGATCAATTTTTAAGGTAATACGTTCAAAAAAATTTGTTTTCTACTAATTGCCCCCGTTCCGTTTTAGAGATAACTTGGAGTGGTTGGCCAGGGCGACGAATTGGGCGAAACTCACCGCCACGGCTTCCTTGGGCGTTATCCACCGCGGGCACGAACAGGAAGCCCTGACGTTGATGCAGAGCTACCTTCCGAAGGAAGTGGGGCCGAGTTCCGGGTACTCTGAAGGCGGCGGTCTTTACGCTTTGGGTCTGATCCATGCCAATCACGGGGCCAACATCATAGATTACCTGTTGGGACAGTTGAAGGACGCACAAAACGAGGTAAGCCGTTAGAATCGTTTTGGAAAGAGGAAATCGTCATTTAATTCTTGTTGCAGATGGTCAGGCACGGCGGGTGTTTGGGTCTCGGCCTCTCCGCCATGGGTACTCACAGGCAGGACGTCTACGAGCAGCTCAAGTTCAATCTGTATCAAGATGACGCCAATACCGGCGAAGCCGCCGGTATTGCCATGGGTATGGTCATGCTGGGCTCCAAAAATGCTTCGGCTATCGAGGATATGGTGGCGGTAAGTGAACACATTAATCAGTTTTCCGGTTTATTATTTTTTTATATGTCATGTTTCGTTTCTCGATAATTAGGTGGCGCTTTTGTTTGTTTTCTTTCTTTTTGTTCTGTGGGTGGTTTAATGAAAATGTCGATATTGATGATTGAGTCACAGTTTTTGAAGATATTGAAAATCTTGATTTAAAAATAGTTTGCAACAAATCGCATAAATGCGATAATAAGTGACTATTTTTCGTTTTGTTCTGTGGTTGGTTTAGTTGTAGTTAGTAGTCTGTGGTAGTTAGAAGTTTTAGCAGAACATGAAAGTTTTGCTTTATATAAATAATTTGGAAAATTTGATGTAGCTTGTTTCATTTTACAAATAATAGGATACATTGAATTTTCTTCTTTTTTTGTTCTGTGGGTGATTTAGCATGTATATACTAATGTTAATGGTTGAATAACAATTGTAGCATAAATAAGTTTTGATTTATTGTGTTATTTTTCGTTATACAAACAATAACAGTAGTTTACTTTTTTCTTTCTTTTTGTTCTGTGGATGGTCCAGTGGAAATACCATTGTAAGACAACTGAATAACACTAGCAGCAGAAGTTGAAAGTTTTGAGTTGTAGATAAAAATTTGATGTAGAACAAATTGACCACAAATGTCATATTTTGTTTGTCAAAAAATAAGTGAGGGTTTTATTGTCCTTTATTTTTTGTTCCATGGGTAGTTTAATAGAATAAGCTTTGTTTGAGGAATTAAATTTTACACAGGTGTCACATTTTTGTTCGAAAACAGTGACAGTTTGATTTTTCTCATTTCTTTTTGTTCCACGGGAACAAAAAAAAAACAGGTGACAGTTTAATTTTTCTTTCTTTTTGTTCTGTGGGTGGTTCAGTAGAAATAACAGTGTGGACAACTTAATAACAGTCGTAGTAGAAATAGAAATTTACAGTTGTAACTAGTGTTGCCAGATCTCCGGGTTTGACCCCAGAGTCTTAGGGGTTTGATGGTACACCTTCGGGCTCCGGGTTAACATGTTATTTCTCCGGGTTTTCTGGAAAAATCGTGATTTCCACATTTCCTGATTCCGTTTCTGTTTTTTATTTCCTCCTGGTCTGTTCACGAAGTTGATATTTCCTGATTACGTCCTTTTTTTTTAGACCTCGATTTCTTCAAAAAAGCAACAACTCTAGTTGTAATAGAAATTGAAAATTTGTCATAAAACAAATGACATACAAATATCATGTTTCATTTTGCAAATAATAGGTGGCACTTTTGTTGTTTTTCCTTTTTTTTGTTCTGTGGTTGATTTAGTGAAAATTTCAGTGTTGATGATTTGAGTAACTGTTTTAGCAAAAATGAATAATTTCAGTTTATGATTCACAGAATTTAATGTAGTTTATATCAAACATGTCAAATTAAATGAACTTTTGTTTTTCTAACTGTCCGTCTGTGTTCGATCTGTAGGGTGTCCGGAAATCACAGACAAATTTAAAGGATAATTCAGACTGTATTAATAAATATGATGGTAGAAGTTCCTATGGCCATTTTTTAATATTTGATTATTAACAGAGTTATATAACCTGAAAGTAAATATTTTTTTAATTAATATTTAGCCAATACTACTTTTAGATAAGTATTGTTTTGACTTTGTTATGCTTAAATGACTCTTATGGATTAGAAAATTGATCATAACTTTTTTATTTGCGATATATAATAAATAACAACTTACTATTAAGTATCAAAAAAAAATATTTCGAAATGATTTTGTTGTTCCGAGTTGGAAAAGGTGAATATTATTAGCTTGGAAGATGACTTTTTCTTAATATTTTTTGCCGATCTTCAGTATGTTTTATTTTTAAATACAAAATATTGTGTGATCAATATTCTGATTAATTAGGGCTTTAAAATTTGATGATTTTTCGTTGGCCAGATGTAGTATGTGTACTAAATTTTAAAAAATTGCCAACAAAAACAAAATAATTTTGAGGTTATGTTATAATATTATGTTGTGCCATTATTTTTCAGAATAGAATACCCCTTAAATTTTTTTTCGTAGTTTGGCCACCTTGTGTTATATTTCGCCGATAACACTATTCTTACTTAAAAAAGAGACACCTCGTGCTATTAACTTGAACTAGTATCTTGTCGGTATCTGTAATCGTGGGATTGTGCTGTAACGGCAATCACCATAGATGTCGCTTAACCTACGTACAGAAATATAGAAACGGTGAAAATGTGAAACTGACATATGGTGCCACCTAGTTCATTCAATTACAATTTCAAGCGGATTTGTCACGTAAATAACCTAAGAATGATACAATTCTTCATGGTAGCCGACTGTAGCAGCAATCAGTAGCGGTAGATGGCGCCGTACTTGTTTTATATGTTTTTATAAAAACAACAATATCTTGTATTTATATTAAACTCAAATTTTGAGACATTCGCTACAGGGTGTTTAAAATTTTGGTGGAGAAACTTATTCTCTCTTTCATCTTTTCTAAAGAGTGAATTTTCAAACAAAAGTTTATCTTAGCGAAAGGAATAATTCCATAATTAAAACAAAGAGGTCGTCAAAATTATACCACCTGTTCAGTTAAACTAATATTTTTCCTTTATTGTAAAGGTATTCAAACAAATTGTAAATATTTTTTGAAAATATCTTATCAAATCCAAATCAAAGTCAAATTAAATTAGATTTTTACGTTCCAAAATTTAGTTCAGTAAACAGACACTTAAAATTTTCGAAAAATTCCGTAGAATTGAATGAACTACTTTCTTCAGTCGAATGTTAGGGCTTCATTTTCAAAATAGCGTCCAAAGTTCGAAAAAAAAAGTTTTTTTCATTAAAAAAAACCTAAACATTTTAGAAAAAAATGTTTTAGACAGAAGTTGTAGAACTTTTTATAACAAAAATTTTGAGCCTAATCCAATGTCAATTGATAAACAAATGTATTAGTTATTGCAAAAAAACGGCTAAAAATCGCAGTTTTTATAAATTCGATGTCTTTAAAACGAAAAAAAAATTTTTATGAAACTTTCAGAATATGTAGTCCTTGACAAGTATAGAATAAGGACATTTTTGTAAAATTGCAAAATGGTTGATAGTTTTTGCAAAAATTGTGTTTTTGGAAAAAAAGAAATTATTTCAAGTTTCAATAAATCATACAGTAATGCACTTACGACCCATCTTGGGTTTAAAATTTTCTCTAAGAATTGTACTTTCCTGCGCAAATTGTGCGCGTATTGCAAAGTAATTGGAAATTTGCGAAAAATCTACCGAAACTCGGATCGAAAAATGTAGATCTTCGTCTTATCGTTGAAATTTAATCGGACTCCTCATTATTCTAAATTCATACCGTGTAAAAACATTTAACGCCGCCGTACGGTTACGTGTTTCATCTTCTGGGGTATCGATTCGTTGCATCTACGAGTACAATGCACCTGTCAAATCTGGAACGGGCTTATTATTTTTCGATTACCGCCGTCGGGTCGCAATAAAGCGAAATTGATGTCGGGTTGCGCGGAAGGGGTAGTTACATGTAGTCCGCTCTGCATATGACACTCTAATTATTCTAATATTGACCGTACCGTGCCGGTCCGCTCTGCGAAGCCCTAAATCTGCAATGAGGTAGATTATATTTCTAATGCTTCTTTTATAACAGTATTTTAGTATATTGAAAATGCACATGGGAAATCTTGGTCTCAAATCTCAAGTTAAGCTTTTCTAAGCACCCCCCACAACATATAAAAAACTTGGCTTTCCCGGTTCACTTTCTGTTCCAAATGTACAGAATGACTGGACTAATTGCTAGTTTTCTCTTGCAAGTCCGGTGGAGTATTCTTAAATTCTTCGTCACTGTCTGAGTTACCATGCATGTTAACTTATTTATAGAATTACAGTTGTTCATAACTTATTGTTATTTTACACTTGTTGCCCAATATTACTTACTCATATTTTTAGGGTCTATATTATTCATTTTCACATATGCTAGGCAAAAAACTGAGTATAATCCCATTTTACCTCTACTAAAGGCCAATCGCCAGCGGAAAGGTTAAAAGTCGGAACTGTGACTGCTTTATAAAACTGTTAAAAGGTTGGAAATGCCGTCGGGGTACTATAAAACATTCTTCGGAAAATGCCCCCGTTCGTTCCAGCTAAATAAAAGCAGTTAAAACTTTCAAGTTGTAGTTTTAAGCGAAGTTTTCTTGAATAAATTGGATAAGTGGATCCTCCGTAATAATGGACTGCGCTTTTCGCGTTGTTTTTTGCTCTTTCGATTCCACGAAAGGTCTTTTTATTAGCTGTTGTAAAATCACTGCGACCGAAGTTCATTCTAGTTACGGTGACCTCCATTGGAATATTTCAGAGACTACCTACTTCGATGTCAATTTTGAAAATTTAGACGTTGGGGTCCTCGGGGGTGTTTGTTAAAGCTTCTTTGTATCTAAATCTAACCGTTTTCGAGATAATCGACATTTTATAAAAATTTTGACTGATGCAAGCGTTTCGAAAATTCCTTATATCTTTCTTCGTTCTGGAAGCGTTCACTTGCTTTTCGGAACACACAAAAAACCTTCCACTATAAACACCGACGGATACGCGATAACAAAGGCAACAGTATACTGACGTGACGTGAACGTGAAAAGCATTCTGAAGAAGCAGCTCACGCATGTCTCGCTTGACATGCCATTGAATTGCGGCTCTCTCTGAGCCCTAGTGATTATGTGAAGCTGTTTTTTTGCCGATAAAGATAAACAGTTGTGTTCTCTTTCTCCATTCTTCCATTACTTTGAAATAAAGTATAAAATATTTATCGTATTTTTCCTTTGGCGATCTCCGATGTTCGACAAGCCCGAATGAACTTGGCGTAATAATCTTAAAAATGTTAGTCAGTGCATCCTTGATGGGGTTGGAAAAAGTTGCCAAGGCGTTCGTATTTCTGATGAGCTGATGGGGAGATCGATGAGACTGTCCAAGTCGCGTCTTAATTAATACTTTGAAATTTATGCTCTCCTGGGAGTTCTGGGGTCGCGCCGTCGTAGTTTATTAATTACGACAAGTTAGCGGTGAAAAGCGAACACGATTTGAATATTGTAAAAGTAAAAAAAAATGGAGGCTAGAAAACTGAACCGTGGGGAATTTGCAAACAAACTCGGACAGAAAATCAATATATACAGGGTGTCTCAATATTCCATGTACATTGAGCTGCCACAGCTTCCTGCGATCTAAATAAGCAATAAATAAGCAATTTTATCAATAAATTTCTACTTGGTCCTCCTATTAGATTACCAAATCGTGTCGACGGCAACAGTTATTTAGATTTTCTGCAAATATTCTGCCGGGATTGTTTAACGATCTACCAGTTAATAGTCTTCAGTCGCAATGTAAGAGAACAGTTAAATTATCAGTACCCAGGCAGATTGATAGGTAGGGAACACGATGCTTCAATTCACTGGCCACCACATTCACCTGACTTAAATCCCTGTGATTTTTTTATTTAGACCGTAAAATAGAAATTATACTCTGTGAGTGAGTAGTGAGTGTAGAAATTAACAATGTACATGTTAATGGCACACGTGTAAAACTAGGTTCCACCTGACATAGCGCAAATTCCGCAATCGTGAGGTTTCGAGGCTGCAAGTTCTAATCCGTCTCGGCTGCAAATATAGTTTGTAGTTGCTAACTAGTCCGGTGATGGATGTTCCGTACATCTCAGTCTACCCGTTGGGGGGTAACTTTCTCGGTTTAGGATAACGTCGGGAGCATGTCGTGCTCTTGTTGGCTTCCATGTACCGAAATTGCCACCAGTGCAGGCTGTCAGTTCTCGTTGTTATTTTCTAGGATTAGTCAGAATTATTTCTGTGTGAAGTTTTTTAATGGTTTGTTTAGGGTAATGTGGAATTTAAGAGGTTATTACACCTCAGTCCCAAAATAGTTAGCAGTGGCTCATTTCTCAGCGATGCGATTCCATGGACGTATCATTTTAGAGGTTCAAAAAATTGTTAAACACAGAACGACAAATAGATACGTCGCTTTTGATAAAAACTGAATTAGTATTACAAATTTACACCCGCCTTGATTTATTCAAATATCAAAGAGGCCGGTAGGCACTTGTTATTATGTTATTTATACTAAAGAATGTATTCAGTAATTCTGCTTTTCTAGAAATCGCCATGGCAACGACAAGAAGTCAAACCATGCAGCTTAAGTCGTCTCTTTTCTTGTACGCTATAAGCAAAGATAGGCGCTTGTAACAAAAGCACCTTCCACACGCGCACGCACAAGCAGAAATTATCGGAACACTATGCGAAATGAACAGCACATTACATTTTTCATGCATGAAATACACAAACATGATTATTTCACATTAAGAAGGAGTAAAAATTGTTGTTTGAATTGTTCGTACTGTCTACTGTCTACTATCTATCTGTCTACTATTACTGTTTTTTTAATGCTTATTAAACTAAATATGTTATGGACGAATTTAAGTTTTTTTGGGTTAGGAAAAATTGAAGAAGTACGAAAAACTCTCTTACGAGTAATAGTATTGCAGTATTTTTTTATTTCGGTTTACTTTCTGATTTCAAACCTTAAATCAATCTGACGCCAGGGAATGGTTGATTTGTTACTTCATACAATTCCAGGATACAGTGTTGACGTCTTAAACCACACAGTAAACTTTTAAACTAATTAGAACACGCCCACCGAAACATTTTGCCTCATTTTCTTGTTCTTGTACATGCGTCTCATTTTAAAATGTGACTTTTCTCCTTTCCAGTATGCCCAAGAGAGCCAGCACGAAAAAATCCTGCGCGGCCTCGCCGTAGGCATCGCCTTCACCATGTACGGTCGTTTAGAAGAGGCCGACCCCCTCATCCAGCAACTGACCTCCGACAAGGACCCCATCCTCCGCAGATCCGGAATGTACACACTCGCCATGGCCTACTGCGGCACCGGACACAACCAGGCCATCAGGAAGCTGCTGCACGTGGCCGTAAGTCATCTGTTTTTTTTTTTTACACCCACTAGATCGGAGTAACTTTTCAATAACCGTTAATTTACGCACCTTTCCTTCTTCCAAGAGGAAGAGACGCGGTTTCACCCCACTTTATCGGCCGAGTTCCGACCGAATAAAGTTTACGCTCGGCTGGGAATTGTTTGTTTTCCGGGAGGGATTTTAAAGTTGCTTCCGGGAGGCTTTTTAGTTTGCGAGCGATTAATATTTAACATCGTACCCGCGAAAACTTGCTCGAGTTGTCGCGGGGATCAGGAGTGGGATATTTCGAATACTTCCAAGAAAATCTATATTATAAATTATTTTGAGAACTACTGAAAGATTTTATAAAAAGTTAACATGTCTGCGATAAAAATCGTTATTAATCAAGATGGCCGGCGTGCTTTTTTTGTCTTCGTAAGTGCATTGTCAGGGGCGAGACGTGTTTACTTTCTGCTTGTTCACGCCGTCTCGTTATAAATTGGACGGGAGAAGACCTGGAGCTGCTTACTTTTTAATAGGGGACGAAATAAGACGCGCACAATGCTCGATCGGATAAACATCCTAAATAAATAATTGTGCCGTATAACTCAGACGTCGCGTCTCGTATAAAAAGTCAACATTCATAAAAAAGTTCGAAGGATTTTAAAAAAATCGTTTTTAGCATCAATCGTCATCACTTTAGCTGATCCCCACGATGGGCGCCAAGCCGGGGGGCCTCGACTCTCGCGCAGGAGTCGTTCTCATATATGCATATACATCCCGAATGTGAAGTGTGGGTGATAAATGTCTGAATAGATTCTTTTCGCGAGAACGGATAAATCTCATTGATGAAATGAAAAGGGTAGGATGAAAGGGGTTGGGGGGAGCGGGAGAACTTTGTTCGCATATATATCAAATGAAGAGCGAGCGAAAGAAAACCCGAACTCCTTAAGAGAAATGTAATGTGACGTTCAGACGGGCGATAGATCTGGCCGTTCGCAATATTTTCTGGATTGGATGTCGCTAGGTCGGGCCTGTGGGTGTGCATCGACAGTTCACAGAGCGTTTTCCAGGCATTGAACTTGAAAAAAAAATACGATATTAATTTCTATAGTCAGGTTTTTTTTTAATTAGGTCTGTATTTTTATCCTTATAGTAGTCCAGTCTTAAAATACGTAAATCTGCGATTTTAGCATTTTTTTCATACAAGGGTAGTTTTCACCCCCAAACAGAAAAAAGCACACATCTAGACAATACAACTTTTGAAGTGGGGGGTCAGATGAGCTTGTATTGCTGCAAATTTTCAGGAAAATCCACGCTATCCGAAAAAATTGGGAGCTTTTACTTTATTTTCAGTGACTGGACTATAAAGGGCGAATCAGTCATAGTGTTCTTAATATTAAGGGAAGATAGGAAAAATGAGTAGGATACCAATACGCGATTTAAATAACGTTCAAATAAAAACGTGGTCGTAGTTGGCTCTGACACATTGGACGTAGGGCGTAGCTTATAGCGACCAACTTAACCTCATTTCTCAACGAGCTGTATAGCAGCTGTCAAAGCGGCGATATAGCGCTTTGACAGATGACGTTTAAGTTCATTTGCTATACGCTACGCCCTACGTCCAAATTTTCAGAACCAACTTGACCACGTTTTTATTTGAACGCTCGTTATTTTAAAATGCATATTTACGCCGAAAAGGGATATTTTCAAATCATTATTTAAACACCTTTTTCGATGTTCTTGGCTGCTAACCCGTAAAGGTTTATCAAATGTAAATCTTGACCTACCGTAATATCCGGTTATTAACCTAGTTGTTATTGCCTGTTTAATCCTTAGGGAACTACATCGAATAATCAAAGCTTTTTAGCGAGACACATGAATGAATAAGGTATTTTTTTACATTTTAAATATTAGCAAGTATTATTTATTTGTTAATAAAAACAAATGTATAACGATGATAATTGTTTTCGAATTTTAGGGTATTACAATTTAGTATTTTTAATATTGTTAACGTTTTCACTATGTTTTGTAATCGAATATGAGGTCTTAGTATTATGTTCTATTAATTAATCAGTTTGTAGTACGTATACCTAGTGACTTATTGCTTTTTAGAGAGTAATACGGCACTTACCTATTTAAAATGTCAGTACGGCTAAAAAAAACACTCATTCGTCCATAGCACTTTGTTAATTAAGTTAAAAACCCCTGGACTCTGATTTTAAAATCAATTGCAAAATTCAACACGACTGAGAAAATCAGCTGTTTCGCTTCAACGTTAGAAGGCTCTGTAGTCTGCCAGCGTCTTTCCTGTCACAAAATGTGTTGCGAAGTGCAACGCTGAATTAACGGGAGTTTAGGGGTAATTTGCTTATTTTTTTAAAAGGACCAGTAATTTTTTTTTTGATCTGTCTTTATTAGGCCTTATGAATACGTGGCTCAAATTAATGGCATTATAACTATTTTTTGTCACCTGTGAAATAATTTGGAACATTAATGTAATACATCGTTGCGTCAAAAGGATCAATCAAGGGTTATTTCATGAAAATAGTTTTGCTTAACCAAAAAATCTCTAAAAATAGCACACAAGTACAACATTAAAAAAAATACATCTTTGTATGTCGCACGTGTCAAAAAATTGACGTGGTTTTTCAATTAATCTTTTTTCGTCCTTAAAATGTGTAGTTCCTTTTTTAATTATGTCTGATCGTTGGATGTTTGTTTTTCTCTGCTTCCATACCTAGATAAATCAGTCATATGTATGTGCGACACACCTCAAGTACTTGGTATAGCCGCTAACGAGTGGCATGACGTCACAACGTGCCTTCCGTGCGTTTTCCTGCGCCTCGTTTTCAATAATTATTATTTTGAGGGAGAAATTGTTTAAAAAAATTCGATTTTTTGCACATGAACTATGATGTATACTTAGAATTAAAAGAAAAACTTGTTAAGTGAGCCCATTCGTTGTAGTACATCGAGATCTCATTCTACAGATGACTCTACATACTTCTGTATGAATGCGCTTGCATATAATACTTTTAAATCGAGCTCGCCACAATTCAGTAGTGTAAAATTTCTTTGCACTCTGTCATTAATTATAGTAAAAACGATACATCAGTTACGTACCCCCATGGCAAAAAAATAATTTGTAGTAGACTAGACCACCATACCCATACGTTTTTGGAGTTGCTGGATCCAAATCCGGTGTCCTTTTGACGGGATTAGTTCTTGTTCAAGGTCATTTGATCAACCCCTTTTTTTTTCATGGTAATACAGTTTTTGTTCCCGGATTTTTAGAGAGCGAGTAATTTTGCGGACGATGCGTGATTTATATATATTTTAAGGTATTGTTCAAGGTTATTTAGGTTATTTGGAAGTCAACTCTCGCTTTTCTTGCGTTATTTTTTAATTTTCAAGGTCAGGTCAGGACAAACCCTCCTCTCGAACTTCTCAAGTTGGTATCTCGTCGGTATAGCGGGATATCGGCGAAATAACCTCTACAAAAGTCGTTTGAGTCATTGGGAAAGTTCGAGAGGGGGTTTGACTTTCAAACGACATTGGTAATTAAAAAAATAACTCAACCACGCTTCCGAACGTAAAATTTCTCGCTCTTCAAGATTTCGGAATCAGAAATTATATTACCGTCAAATAACAAAAGTTGACCTTCAAATAACCTTGAACAAGAGCAAACTGACAACGTTTTAGGATTCAAGCACCTCAAAAACATATAAAAATGTGAACGAAACCTTAAATTCATGCAGCGTGCAATATTGGACGTCAAAGATTTTGTCCCCGGGGAGTCTGGCGTGCGTATGCGGACATATTCGATGTAGTTTTTGCTAACACAAAGGCCATGGGGCGCGTATTCCCCGGGACGTTTTTTTTTTTCTTATTGTCTTTTCTTTTTAGGTCTCCGATGTTAACGATGATGTTAGGAGGGCAGCAGTCACCGCCCTGGGATTCCTTCTGTTCAGGTGAGTTTTTTTTTCATTGTCTGCCTCTCGAATAGAACAGAAAAATGCGTTGTTTTTACTAGAAAAATATAAAGGCGTTTCCGACCGGACGGAGACCTAACTCTAGCAAAAGCATTTCCACTGGTTGATTGAACAACAAGCCGTATTGTTTTTAAAGCAACAATCTTTCATTATAGCCGGTTAGATTTCTTTGCAACGGAATAATTTCTGCCTAGTTTTTGTTTGAAGTGTCTTAACAAAGACGGAAAAATGGTTTGTAACAGTTCAAGGTCGTTACCACATACTCGAATATACTTTACAATATTTCACAGTGGATTTGAAGAGCTTTTATGCAGTTTAAAGCTGGTTTGGTGTACGAGGAGGAAAAATAACTGGTCACCTTTTTTAAAAAATACATAATTTATTTTTTCGGTTTACAAACGTTAGTTACCTTCGAAGTACCCTCAATTAATACTACTATATTGATTCAAACGTTTTTTCCACTGCGCGAAATACCTCCGGAATATCTGAAAAACGTTTCTCTTTCAGCTCCCTTTTTATCCGGGGGAACAAATAAAAAATCACAAGGTGTCAGATCAGGCGAGTAGGGTGGGTGAGCAAGCGGTGTCATGCGGTTTTTTGATATTTTCTTCGGCCAAAACGGGTCCCGCTGAGCTAAACGAAATACCAGCAAGTACCTACATAAATAGTACGCCTTCCATCTTTGTACACAAGCAATGCCTCGTTTAAATCGAGAATACCACTCACACGCTCCAGTTCTTTCCAAGGCTTGTTCTTTATAAGCTGTAGACAACATATCAACCGCGTTCGATGCACTTCTACTGAGCAGAGAGCAAAATTTCAATTCCGCACGCTGTTTTCGATTATTTAAAAAATCGAAGAGATGAAATAGTCGTCGTACGAAAAGTGTCCCAGGAGCTCGCTACAACCGTCTCCAGCGACACCACTTGGCTGACTGACTCAGGAAGCGTTACGTAACACCCATCTAGCGGTAGAAGTCCGAACTACAAGTGTGGCGCGCGTAGCGAATTTTGTCCGATTAATTTTAGGCCCCCCTCGTATCTTGTGTTCTAAAGCTGTTTTCATTCACTTCATCGCTTTCTGAAGCGATTTCGATGTACTTTGACATATTTTATAGAAGTTTTGGGCCTTTTTGAATTAAGTATTTTAGAATTTTGGACATTAAACCCTATTAGAGGAATATTGATTGATTTTCAAGCTTTTTTGATGTATGGTGATGTCTCCAAATTATTATTATGCATTCCAAGATTATTTTGAGGTATTTTGTTTAATTTTTTTTAGTGGTTTTCACGTATTTGGTGTCTCGTAAAGGGTGGTTTGAGGTATTTGCTTTTATTCTCAAGTATAGTTAATACATTATTTTTCTATAAATTTGTCATTTTTTTCGCTATTTCCTTGTATTGGCTATTCTCAAACAAAATTCTATGGACTTGGGAAGAAAAAAAATTATTTAATTTAAATTAATTTGAGTAAAATCTAAAATCCAGCTAAACATCAAAGTGGACCTAGGCCTTAAATCCTCAAGTTTTTCATTCTGAAAAATGTATCTTAATGGCATTTTGTGGTATTTAATTCAGAAATGGCACTTTATTGGTAAAAAAGATTCTGGATTTCCAAGCCTTACTGGCTTTTGCGGACTCTACCGTTTTACTGACTATACAACTAACGCTGACGTCACTAGGGATAAGGCGTCAGACGTAAGGCTTTGTATTGTATGTGGTAAAATCAGGGCCCACTTTACGCTGATTGAGGCTAGCTGTACGTCATTTGCATGTCAAAGAACCGGCCCCTGGTGGGTGGGTTGTTTAAATTTAATGCCATCAGTGGTTTCGGTTACAGCGTTGCTAAAACTTTGCGTCTGCAAAGCTACGGCCGCCTACGCGGGATGCTAATTTTCAGTGAATATGCATACAATCATTCTAAATCTGATCTATTATTAATTCGTATCGCTGGCTTTCACGTGGGCAACTATAACAATTTAATTATGGGATATTTTCGCGTATTTAACACACAAAATGAGGTAGGTCGGCATTGGATTTAAAAATTTCGCGCGGTACTTGTACGTCATTTGGCTCAATAAGACGCGTTTGCTGCCGTCTGTGGTCCGTACGGCATGTTTTAGTACCATAATAACGGTTGGTATGATCTTTGCGATATAAATAACAATTGATTGCATTAAAAAATACATTTTGAATATATTTTTATTGGTACCGAGACACAAAAGTATCGAATTAATACAAAGTCTGATATTAGATATATTTAAAATAGTCGCTAGCAGGATGTGTACTACTATAATGAACTTAAATGAAGGATGTATATAGAGAAAATAAGTAAAATAATTTGTAAATAATTGAAATTTCACGACAAAACGTCGACTGTCAAAGTTATAACTAAATTTGAATTTGCATATTCAATAAACTATGTAAATGCACTCATGTTGTACAATTATGTTGCAAAGAACATTAAAGAACTATGTTACAATGTAAAAGTCAATTATAAGTTCTGGCATGAGTATATCTAATCATCATAGAGAAATTTTGACAAGCCGTTGACGTTAGATGAAGGTATTTCACATATATTTCCGATTCATGCAATAAAACCTGTGTACCTGGCGCCAGAATATATGTGTGGAATAATACCTATACATCGGTGAAAACCTTTTTTGTAGCATATAAATCTTGACAGTTATTGTTCCGTTAAAATATTGTAAATTGTTAGTATAAAAGTGCATCAAGACTGCAAAATCATATGTGCAAAATGTAAAAGACCCTCATAATTCCATAAAAAGTGTTTAAACTCCAACCAAAGATCAATTTGTTGTGTAGACTGTAAAATGCTTGTCGGAGCGGAGTACTCAATAACTTTCTTTCGTTTACATCTGAAAAAACGAATCAAGACTGTGTAAAATGTGTTTAATAGATACTACTAAAGGCATAAAAAGAACATACATGCTGAGAATTAGTCTATGCATCAAAATTAAAGTGAATTTTGTAAAAATATGTAACATTTTGGCATAACGTTCAACTTAACCTAGAAATGTGTAATTAGTGTCAGGAGAGGCAGAAAAATGCAAGGAATCTGAAAATGGAAAGTCCATTGCATCACAAGTCCATTCAGAAGTCAGTATTTATAGAAATAAAATTTCAAAAATGCTCATTGTACGTTGCTATAGTAATTTTCAATTGTTTTTCACATTTTATAAAACCAATATCCGGGCTCGAGGTAGCCAGTCTCCCATGTTTACCTGTAGCAGCAACATCGTCAGTTTTGCTCCTAGAAAACAAGTGCTATCAATTATTATTGTCAACAAATCAGTAAAAATTCTTGTACTCACACAACCATGATTGGTGATTGAATGTTGTGACAAAATTTGACAGTCAAAAGTCAGAATATTAAATTAGTGAAAGTGACATTAGCCCGAAAATACATTCAGCAGTTTCTTCACAAGCAATTGATACAACAACAACAAATTGATACGAGGTGAACTTGTTAATTTGTATAAATAAAAAAAAGTGACAAGTGGAATCTTTAAAAATATCGTGCAGTATCGTTTCACCTGGAAAAGTTCCTGTGGCAGTATAAAGGATACTTCGGCAATTTCCGTTGCGAGACACCAGTTCAACGAGGGAACATCGGAGCAGCGCGACTACGTGTAGCAGATTTCGCAATACAGCGTGGTTACATGCTCATTGAAAAACCAGAAAGAAATATTTCACTGTAAATGTCGACACGTAGTAAACAAATTTGCAAATTTAATAGTCAAAGCGCTATATAAATCTTTACAGTAAAATTTCACTTGAACTACTGACAGTATAAACACATTTATGCGCTGTTATAGTAGAAATTTAGGGGGGAATTTATTGTTCAATTATTTAGTATAAGCATTACAACAATTATTGTACATTGTGGCGAAACCCATAACCTGCCAAATCTGTTAATATATTGAAATCTTGTTAATTTAGATACATCTTTTATTTAAGAATTTAGAATATAATCTCGACACATTCAAATTAAGATGAAAATATATATCAGAATAAAACAAAACATAGGAACCCACGCTTCTGTGTGACGTACTTATCCAATTTCTTCTCTTTCAGTGGAGAACGCGAGCTAACACACTGAGAGAGTCTCATAATCAAATAACAACTACATATAAAAAGCATAAGGGCGCCCAAAAATCAAAATCCAAAATCAAAACAATACATATAAAAAGTATAATGATAATAGTATATAACCATGACGTAAACGACGAGCTTGAATTGATAATAAGCCTAGGTGCTTGTACCTACCATGAGTTTGTGTCCTGGTTAATAAACTGCAGATACCCAAAGCTGACGTTCCTACGCAGCCCTCGCTAGCTTGGCCGAATCGTTATCGTGGAACAGCGCCAGCTGGAGTCGAAAGGTAGGAGCAAATTTCAACGCCCGCGCCGTTCCCGTTAGGGCCGTCCCAGTCATCTGCAGACGTGGAAGCTACTTGTAGTGGATCGAAGCGGTTCCCAAATTATTTAGCTGAGAGAGCTTGAAAATTCGAAAGTGTGTTGGAATTTATCTTCTACACCATCCCCTGTTATTTCAACTATCCATTTTGGTCCTCTGCACGCGTACGTCGTGACTAATCTCGGGGTACCCCTGCTTACTGGCTTTTCGTCCGAAAAAATTCGAAAGGTTGGTGAATTTCTCTCGGACTATCTCGTACTGCTTAGGTTGTTCATATTTTGGTCCTTTGCATGATGCAGGGGTTTATTTCGGAGGGCGATGAAGCGATGTTTCTGTTTACTGGCTTCTTGATACAAAAAACTCGAAAGGTGGGTGATTTTCGAGAATGGGAATGATATGTTTTATCTTGTGGATTCTTTAAAGACGAGTAAATAATTTGAAGTTCCTATAGCGCGGGAAGGTCATTTGCTGGCATGCCGTCCCGTACGGGATCAAAATTTGAATAATGACTTTCAACCCGGCTTCGAGTCTAATGTACTT